CAGGCTTTGATGGTTAGGGGGCTCAAGCTTTTTGGCAGATGCGGCAGTAGCAGAGAGTATCGCATCCGGACACACTGGGGATTATACCAAGTCAAAGGAGAAGCAATGCTTTGCAAAGCACACATAGAGTTCGGCAGCCAGATGAACGAATATCGGCAAACAAAACGAAGTCTTAATCTAGGGATTTGCAGGCTTTGAACCAAAGAAGCAAGGAAAAACGGAGTACGACAAAAACTCTTCACTGCCGTTTGGTCTCATCTTGCCAATGGAGCCACCCGAGCAGCACATCCGGCAGCTTCCCGTTGATAAAATCACCGTGGCTGAGGAGTCGTCGAGTTCTTCCGGCTCAGAGCTCGTTCTCTACAAGTAAGTTTCTCCCGTACGTAGAAAAGAGAAGTTTGTCAATGACTTAGCCAACTCGCTCTTCACTTTTTCTTTCTCAGGAGAATCACAGAAGTTAAAGAACAGCGCCAGAAGGCGGTCGTGGAATTGATCTGTACTCTCTATTCGTCCAAAAGTTCCTCGACCCGAGGCTGGCTCTGGTGAGATCCCGAGCCTCACAGTGAACGAGAAGGTGGACGGCAACTGTCAATCCGTTCACGGCAACATGTAAAATCCATGGATCCACTCGGCCGAGAGGTTACCACGGATGATCCTTGGCCGCCGTTTTGAGTGAAGATTGTCAGCATCGTGTTGAGCGATGCCATGTTCTAAACGCGGCAGTGTAAGTGGCAAAATCATCAAGCTCTTGAGAGGAGTCGAGTTTTCCCGCAGCTGGGATGGATTGACTTGTATTGGAGCATGAGAGTGGCTTTTGTCTTGACAATTAAATCCAAAACTAGCTTCCTGCCTTGGGAATGTCCAGTGTAATATTATTATTTACTATTCATTTCCTGAAATTTTACTAAGAACTTATGAACATTCATGAAATTCAACAGTATGTTCAGCATGTTCAAAACAACCTCTGAAGGACCACATATACCAACCGCCCCAACCTGTAGTGGTATATTTTGCTGCACCAGTAAAAATTATTACATGATAAGTTTCATAACCCATGGAGAAATCTTCACTTTCTATTATTGGATTTGGATCTGTTTTTTCGTTGAAGTCGTTCTCATTTGCTTGATTATATATAAAAATATTTACCTTTTTTTTTTTGAGTTTTGAGTTGTAATAATCTAATTTACACATCATAGAACTTTGCATATTTACAGGATTCCAACAATGGTCAAAAGTTTGAGCAATAGTAAAGATTATAGAACATGTAAATCCTAACACCAAAATAAGGATGAATGAACAAAACTTTACTAATCCCATATTTGAAGAGAATTTTATTATGTCTATTACACTTGTTGTTAAATGGAAATGGACTATGATTTAAATGAAGTTTCAACAATAAGGACAAAAAACATTGTTAACACTTTCTTAAGTTGATTTAACAGTACTATGATACCAAAACACCAGCTGTCTCTTGTTTTTATTTTTCTCCTATTATTCTCTCTCTATGTATGGTACTTGTATTGGATTTTTTTAAGCTTAGAAGAAAATTATTTCCCAAGAAATGCTAGTAAATACAAAAAATGTAAATTTTTTTTGGCAATTTTGATATTTATACATAATCTTACCAGGACAACATGAACCATCCTTTGTATTATGAGTCTTGATAATCTTAATTTATCCCTCTCACTATGCTTTATGATTTTAAGAACAGTAATATATTACTACTTGGACAAAATATATTACTAAATTAATATATTACTAAATTTTTTATTAATATAGATTCAGTATTGATGTGAAGAAATCTAAAGCACTAAGATTTTAAGCAGATAAAAGAAAAATGTGTAACTAAAAGTAGCTATTATTAATATATATGTAGTTAATGACTTTTTAAATCTTGAATTGAATTAGTAAAATACCATATCATGTTTTCTAAGGTATGGATTAAGACATTTAATTTTATATAATTGTCTACCTGTCTACTATTTGCCAGAAAATTCATTATAAACTATTATTTAACTATTTTACTCAATTAACCTAGTAAGGTTAAAATTGCAAAATTAAATTCTAGATTTTTGCTAGAGTATATATATAAGGGCATTCCAAAGATGTAACATTCAATCAACACAGTTTGAAAAGAAGCTGGTGCTCGCAAGCTCCAATACAGATTGCTACAAACTCCAAGTTCAAGGGGGTGTCACAGACATCTTACCCAACCAAGTTGTAGTGAGAATCAACGTGAGCCTCAGCGTCCCACAAGAAGCTCCCAAACACCACCGCTTCCGTCACCAATCTCCTCAGCCCGGACAAGCTGATGGTAAACGAGTCACCGGCGAGCAAAACCACGGATCCATCCGGGGCGATCTCCGCCTCGGGCTTGCCAAACAGCGCCTGTGTCTGCCTCTCCACAACGTCCAAGCTCTCCTTGCAACGCAGCGTCGCAAACCTCTGCAAGCTCTCCGGGTCCAGCGACATGACATAGCTCTTGAGCTTGCTCGGCTTCCATCCCAGCTGCGGGAAAACTCCGGATCCTCCAAGCCCGCCTCGAGTGGTCGACGATTTTGCCGCTTGCATCGCTTGCACTGCCGCGTTTGCCTCGGCCGCCAGCTTCTCTCCCTCTGCGTCAGTCTTAAAGTCGAGCTCCTCGGACACTCCCGGCCCTGACTCCACTCCTTGTTCTTCGTCCTCGTGTTTGTCGCTGCTCAGAGCTTTCTTCATGCTCAGGTCGAGCTGATATCTCTGGTCGAGACGCCGGAGGAAGTAGCCAAACACCACCGTCGCCGCATAGAGATGGCCGATCTTCATCTTGCTGGCTTGGACCAGAGTGTATGGCTCTTGGTAGTGCGGCGAGGGGCGGCCGAGGATCATCCCGAGGTGGTCTCTCACGACCTCAAGAACCTCGGCCGAGTGGATCGATTCCATGTCGCCCTGCACGGATTGCCAGTTGGTGTCCACCTTTTGGTTCGCGGGGAGGCTCGGAATCTTGGGAACCAGAGCCAGCCTCGAGTCGAGGAACTTTTGGACGACTAGAGAATAGATCACTTCCACGACCGCTTTCTGGCGCTCCTGTTCTTTAACTTCCGCGATTCTCCTGAGAAAGGAAAATAGAAGAGAGAGTTGGCTTACGTCTTTCCATTGACAAACTTCTCTTTTCTACGTAAGAGAGAAACTTACTTGTAGAGGACGAGCTCTGAGCCGGAAGAATTGGTCGACTTCTCAGCCGCGGCGTTCTTATCAGCGGCAAGCTGCTGGATGTGCTGCTCGGCTGCTTCTAGGAAGAGATGAGGATGGCTCTGGAGCAGCGAGACTAGGAACTGGCCGATGGGCGACTCGGGCTCCCAAGGACCGACCATGGAAGTGGCACTACTTCTTCCACTCTGAGCTTTGACAATGTGACACGGACCTCTTCCCGGCCTGGAAAACCCATTTTTTATCCTCAGCGAGTCCCTCTTCCCAAAGAAACTTGTGGAAGCCTGCGAGAGAGACGAGAGAGGGAGCTCAGATCTAGCCACATCTTGCCCAAATTTCCCTACCGTGAAGTGGATGCTGCGCTTGGCACCGACGCTGGATTGCTGCGCCCGGTACGAGCTGCTCGCAAATCCGCCGCTGCTGGAAGATCCCACTTGCACTGCCGCCATCGCCGAGACCCGCCGAGACCGCCTCACGCTCAGACCTAAAAATGAAAATCTCACGCGGCCTTTTGACCCTTTGGTGTCGGAGGAATCCACGTGGCTGCTTCGCAATGTTCCACGTCGGTCAAAATTCTATGATCCACTAGTTCGTTCGGTGACTAGTTGTTAACATATGTAAAAGGAATATTGGGTGTGGAATCAACTCCATATACGAAAGTGTTAAGTGGATTAATTTGTAGATGGATTGCTAGAGCACAAATGAATCGATTCCATTCGATTCGTTTGTCCCTTGCTAGATTTTATGTCAAGTTTTGATTATACATGTAAGCACCAAGAATCTCCAGCTAGCTTTCTCCAAGTTTTCAATGATACTCCCAGCATCCAGCACTATCACTAAGTTTAGAGCTGCCTAGTCCTACATTAACATTGGTCAATCTTACAAATATATTTCGTAATTGGATTTTAGTTGTTGGCGCTAGAAAAATTCTAAACACTGCAAGATTTTATAATGTTTATTTGTATTAAAATCTGTTGTTCTAAACCTACTGAGAACCATAGGAGAAAGATTTTTACATGTGTCTATATAATTCATATACACTGTTTCTCATAAATGGTATCTGAGCTTTTGTGTTTAGTTTAATATTTTTATTATATACAAATACAACGTATTCATGCTTTCCGCCCATGGCATTTCCAAAGTTTTATTTATTTAGTTTTTTTTCACTTTTACTGTATACAAGTTTTATAATTGTTACTCTTTCTCAAGGATTTAATCACTGTTGGAATACTGATTGGAAAAAAATAATGACTTGTAAATTAGATTATTACAGATCTAAACATAAAGGAAATGCCTATATATTTATATATAACAAATCAAAGTCTTTCAAAGAAGCAATAACTCCAAATCCAATAGAAGAAGCAGATGATTTTCAAATAGACAGTGATGATTTGCAAGCAATAGTTTTTATTGGCACAGCAAAATACACCACTACTGGTTGGAGTGGCTGGGATTGGTGGTCTTTTACAGGTTGTTACAAACATGTCGATCATACTGTTGAATTTTATGAATATGGACCAAATAAGAATTGTGAAATTTAATATGAATTCCTCTTGTACTTTATATTTTATAAAATAATTTGCTAAGTGTTGCATGCATCAAGGCATGGTTTGCTAATTAATTATTATTTAATAATTTGATTTATGAAATGGAAGTTTATAATATGGTGAAATAAATCAGAATATACTAGAAAGTGTTTAAGAATGTTTATAAATTATAAATACAAAATTAATCTAAATGAATAACAACTGTTAAATGGTAAAATATTCTAGAATATTCAAATAAATTCCAAGTATATTCATTAAGTCTAAGAGTAGAAAGACCAATTGATTTTATAGACCATTCTACTTGGTTTTTACTGCAATTGCCAATAATAATAGTAATACTGTTTATACACTTCTCCCACTTCCAAGGGATCTGGCTAAAAAGGGAAAAAGAAGAAAAAAGAAAAAAAAAGGGAGAGTTTTAAGCAACTCCAGCAGGAGCTTCAATGCTCGAGCTCGATGCGGTTCCAGCAGTTCCGTTCAGCACCGTCACGTTTCCTTCAGAGTCCACATCTATGATCGCCGAATCGCCCTCTTTCACCTCCCCGGACAGCATCCTCTCGGCCATGCTATCCTCGAGAAGCCTCATGATCGCCCTTCGCAGCGGCCGAGCTCCATAGCTCGGGCTATATCCCTCGTCCACCACCCGGTCTCTAAACCTCTCCGTCACCTGGAGATCGATCTCCTTCTTCTTGAGCCGCTCAAACACCTCCTTGAGCATGATATCCGCAATCTCCTTCACCTCCGTCTTGGTCAGCTGCCTAAACACGATGATCTCGTCCAGACGGTTCAAAAACTCGGGCCTGAAGTACTGCTTGAGCTCCTCGTTCACCAGCGTCTTGATCCGGTTGTAGCTGCTGTCCTTCTCGCCGTAGTCGAGCTGGAAGCCAATGCCGCCGCCACCCTTCTCGATCACGCTGCTTCCCACGTTGGAGGTCATGATCAGCAGCGTGTTCTTGAAGTCCACCGTTCGTCCCTTGCTGTCCGTGAGCCTCCCGTCCTCGAGGATCTGGAGCATCATGTTGAACACGTCCGGGTGAGCTTTCTCGATCTCGTCGAACAGCACCACGGTGTAAGGACGCCTCCTCACGGCCTCTGTGAGCTGGCCTCCCTCTGTGTAGCCAACGTATCCCGGAGGCGAGCCGATGAGCTTTGACACCGTGTGTCTTTCCATGAACTCGCTCATGTCGAGCCTGACCATGGCCTCCTCCGAGCCGAAGTAGTACGCCGCCAGGGCCTTTGCGAGCTCCGACTTTCCAACACCGGTAGGACCGGAGAAAATGAAGCTTGCAATGGGACGGTTCGGGTTCTTGAGGCCGACGCGAGCGCGGCGGATGGCTCGGCTGATCGCCTTCACTGCCTCGTCCTGTCCAATGACGCGCTGGTGGAGCGTCTCCTCCATTTTCATCAGCCTGTCCGACTCGTCGGTTGAGACTTTCTCCACGGGAATGCCTGTCCATGCTGACACTATCTGCTGGATATCGGCCTCTGTGACCAAGGGACCTGTTTCGCCGGCTTCGGTTTCTGCCTTGGACTTCTCTTTTCCTTTCTCGGTGATGGCTGAGATCTGTGCCTTGAGCTCCATCTCGCGATCTCTCAGCTCGCCAGCCTGCCAGAATAAAAATCAGTCAATTACCATGTAAAATAAAATGGCCTAAGTAAAGACGACGGACCTTCTCAAAGTCTTGTCCACGCACAGCTTCGTTTTTCTCTTTGGTGATCTGCCTGAGTTCCTTGTCAAGATCTCTGGCTTCTTCAGGCAGCTACAGAAAGAAAGAAACAGAAAACGTGTTAGTTGCGATGTCCAAGACTAAAAACAGCGTCACCTGTGCGTGTCTCAGTCGGACGCGAGAACCAGCTTCGTCGATAAGATCAATGGCCTTGTCCGGAAGGAAACGGTCGCTGATATACTGGTAAGACAGCTGAGCAGCAGCGACAAGCGCCTCATCTGTGTACCGTAGCTTGTGATGGATTTCATATCGCTCTCGCAGTCCTTTGAGAATTTGAATGGTTTCGTCGACGGTGGGCTCCGGCACATTAACTGGCTGGAATCGTCTTTCCAGGGCGGGATCCTTCTCTATATGTTTCCTGTACTCGTCAATGGTCGTAGCACCAATGCACTGGCAAAAACTGGAATTAGCACAAGTTTCACGATACAAATATTTACCTGAAGTTCGCCACGAGCAAGAGCAGGCTTCAAAATATTGGCCGCATCGATGGCTCCTTCAGCAGCGCCAGCTCCAATCAAAGTATGCACCTCATCGATAACAAGAATAATGTCATCGGATTGCTTAATTTCTTCCATGAGTTTCTTCAGACGCTCTTCAAATTCTCCACGGTACTTTGTCCCGGCGACAAGCAGTCCCATGTCTAATGTAACGACCTGAAATATTCAAAGTCAATATGCAAGGACATTTTTCAAAGAAAATGCATAGAACCTTTTTCCCTTCAATAGTTTCAGGAACGTCTCCTGTCGCAATTCGCTGCGCAAGACCTTCTGCAATTGCAGTCTTTCCAACGCCAGGTTCTCCAATCAAACAAGGATTGTTCTTCGTCCGACGACCAAGAATTTGTGTAACACGCTCAATTTGTTGCTGCCTTCCCACCACGGGATCTAGTTTACCCTGTGCAAAAAATAAAAACTTGAGCTACTTGACAAGTTCTCCAGACACGGGCACTTACTTCTTCTGCTAGTTTTGTCAAGTTCGTGCCATACTCCTCCAACGTTGGCATCTTGTTGCTACTGCTACCTCCGCCGACACTCGCACCAACAGCCTCTGTGCTCTCTCCGACCATTCGAATAACCTGAAAAACAACACGAATGTTTTTTCTTGTTACTTCAATTAGCTAGGTTTACCTGCGTCCGAATGTTTCCAGGATCAGCTCCCAGGTTTTCAAGCACACGAGCTGCCACACCTTCTCCTTCTCGCAAAAGTCCAAGAAGCAAATGCTCCGACCCGATGTAATTGTGTCCTGTGAGACAAAAGACAAAAGAATAACACGTTGTGAGCTGCAAAAGCTTTCAAGCAAGACGACCACTCACCCAGCTGGCGTGCTTCTTCGAGAGAAAGCTCCAATACACGCTTTGCGCGAGGAGTGAAAGGAATCTCCACGGCAACAAAACCACTTCCCCTTCCAATAATCTTCTCAACCTCCACCCGAGCTTCCTTGAGATTAACTCCCATGGACTTCAAAACCTTGGCAGCGATACCGGTCCCTTCTCCGATAAGACCCAGAAGAATCTGTTCAGTGCCTACAAAATTGTGTCCCAGCCTGCGAGCCTCCTCCTGTGCCAGCATGATAACTTTGATGGCTTTCTCGGTGAAGCGCTCGAACATAGCGACAACCACACCACGAGAAGCACCTCTTCCCCCGCTGGTGGAAACACTTGAAACCACTGAGTTCCAATCCTTGCAAGTTCTCGTTGCTAGAGAATCCAAGGGACTTGGCTTTCGCATGCCGACATACGTTTGTAGCGTCCTCGTTCTCGTGATAAAGGCTGCTCGGACTTGGCCATGATTCGAGCCTCTTATCATACTCACAGTACCTCTTCTTGTTCTACTGGATTTTTGTTGCCGGCTTGCGGGAACGCTGCGAATCCCAGCCGACAGGGCTGGAGACTGAGAAAGTGCTCCGGCCGCCATGTTTCTCGACTTATTGGAAGATCTTGGTTTCTGCAAAACAAAAAATCTTGAGTTCGAGAAAAAAAATCGCAAAAGGAATCAAACCAGCAACCAAAAGCAGAGAAGAAATTTAGACTTTCAGCGAAGAAAGCAAACCAGAGAAAAAATATTAAGTCCAGCAAAGAAAAAAACACGAAAAAATCAATGCTCTGTGCAGGAAACCGTGCCGCCACACAAATGCCTCGAGCGGGAAACGCCGCAATCCAAGCAGCGCCACAGCAGCTGGAATTCACCGATTACTCACGCGCACAGCAAGCGGCCGCGAGAATCCAAAAACCCTAGAATCCGAAACGCACGAAATCTAACCAAAACCTCGTCGCCAATCCGCGAGAGCGCGGCCAGCGCAAGAGCTTTGGATTGGCACGCGAGCGCTTACCGGAGCCCTGGAGCCGCCTTCACCTCCTCCACACAAACACGCAAATTTTGGAGATATCCTGCTCAAAGCTTACGGCATTTAACGGTATATGCCGAGGCGGTGGCGGAATAATCACCCGCGCTAGCGGAATATCCTTGGATGTTTCCAAACAGCACGCATCGCCACTCTACCGCCTCTGGGACGTAGGGCATCGTCCGCGCGAGCTCTTGGGCGCCCTCCACGTGGCCGGCCCTGGACAGTAGATCTATCATAGCGCTATAATGTTGCTTAGATGGAGAGATGCCAAAGTCTAAAACCATGGAAAGAAAGAAACTCCTTGCTATGGAGAGCTGTCCAATGTAGCTAGTGGAAATTAGCAGCAAAACAAAGCAAATAGAGTCCGGTGATACGTCGAAATTCATTAGAGTAAAAAGATAGCGTGCGTGGTAAAAATGCCCATTTTGGGCATATGCCGCCAGCAAGGCAGTCCACGTCACAAGGTCCCTTTGGGGCATTGCACGGAAGAGTATCTCGGCGTGGAAAACATGTCTGTTGTAGGTATATCCTAGTAGTACGGAATTCCACGTCGGCATTGTCTTCTCTGGAGCTTCGTACAGTGTACGTTTTGCTAGACCCATTTGCCCATTGTGGGCATATGTCCAAGTTATTAATTCGTACAATCTCGAGTCCCGGTAGGGCATTCTTTCGTACAGGTCCACTGAACAGTCGAGATTCCCATGTTGCGAATATGCTCCCATCATGCACGTGTACGACACAACGTCGTGGACTGGCATCTGGTCAAACGTACACTTGACGAGTTCTAGATTCCCAGTTTGGGAATATGCCGCGAGCATTGCGTTCCAGGAAATGGAATCCCTCTCTGGCATAGAGTTAAAAAGATTCTCTGCCTCTTGAACTAAACCATCATTGGAATATAGCCCCAGTAGCGACGTGAACGAAGACAAGCTTCTCTCTGGCATGGATTTAAAGATTCTTTCAGATTCGAAAAGTTGCCCATTTGTGGCATTTGCAAGAAGAAGAACGTTCCATGCGATGATATCCCGCTCTTGCATTGCATTAAAAACAACCGCGATTTCATCAAAGCAGCCGTGGTTAGCATAAACTCGCATGATAGCCGTACAAGACACAATATCCAGCTCCGGCATGGAGCCGTATACCAGCTTTGTGTGTAAGAGTTCGCCACCTTCGGCATTTGCCGAAAGCAAACACGTCCACGAGACTAAACTCCACTGCGGCATTCGATCGAACAAAACCTTCGCAGCGTCAATATCGCCAAGTTTCGAGCGGATCGAGAGCATCGAATTCCATGACACTAAGTTCTTCTCGGGCATGGCGGAGAAGAACCTCGCCGCAAGCTCGAATTCCCCGTTAGCAGCGTACGCTGCGAGCATGGACGTCCACGAGACGATGTTTCGTCCGGGCATTTCCTCAAACAGTCGCTCAGCCTCGCGCAGCTCACCATTACGAGCGTTTGCAGTGAGCATCATGTTCCAGGCCACGAGAGTTTTGTCCGGCATTTGCTCGAAGGTCTGCCTGGACTCTTTCAAGTTTTTGTTGCGGCAGTAGACGTAGAGGAGAGTCTCCCACGAGAAAGAGTCTCTGGCATTGTCTTTGATGGAATCAAAGACTTCTCTGGCTCGCTTCAAGTCGCCGGTCCTGCCATACATTTCAACGAGTTTTATCTGACAATTCATAGCAACGAAAATGGTCACCTCTGGAAGATTTTTCAAAGGTTCCTCTCGTTGGGCTCCAACCAAGGATGGCCTACGAACTCGAAGACTTCTTTCTCGTTCTTGCAGATGACTCGAGCGCCTTTGCTATCGACCTGAAGATAGCAGAAGCTTGTTTCCATAGAGTAGCATGTAAACAGTTTACTAACCTTGTGACGCTTGTGCTTCTCATACAAAATAGTTCTATACAAGCCAGTATCATCTAGTTTGTATCCTTTTTCATTAGCTAGAATTCGCAGCCTGTGAAGCAACAAAAATCGCAATGCTATTTCTCATCGTTAACGCTACGTATGTACCTTCTGTTTAGAACATCGTTGCCAGTCCAAGCAATGAGGCCAAATGGATATTGCTCCCAAGAGTACACCTGAGTAGAATCTGTGATAATCAAAAGATCGTTTGAAACACAAACCTTAAAATCAATACGATGCCGCTGCTCTCTTCCCGGATACTTGCATAACCCAAAGTAAGTATCCACAGCATCGTCGTTCAGTTCCTGCAATGTTGTTCATCTCATTAGCACAGGGAAGTGTTATTTCTACCTCGTGGTAACCAATCAGCAAGTCTTCGGTGAGAAAATCAATGTCTTTCAGTCGTTGGATTAAGCGCCTCAGGAATCCCTTGTGACTGCAGTAAACTTTCAGTCAAAACTCATAACAATGTAAGCAGACCTTGTGCCATCCGAGTGAGTGACAATCATGTCCATATCCCCTACCAGCGACTTCCCACGTCTATAAGAACCTCCACAAACAACGGATATCTACAACGCAAGGATAAGCCGAGTGAAAAAACATATAATCAATAACACGATACCCCGGGTTGAATAGCACTAGCAATTTCTTGCACCAGATTTTCCACGTAGTTCGCCTAGAACGAAATGTCACTCAGGAGGACAAATCTCTAAATTGGATACCTCGCTGCGTGGAATTTTTGCGTTGATATCCTCGAAATATTGCAGCCCAAGCCGTTGGGTACGTGTAAGTGACTCGTCATGCCTTAAGTCCTCCAAGGAACGATGACCTTTCTCGTAATATTTCAAAGCGTTCGATGGCCCAATCCCCCACACTGAACCGAAAAGAGAAACAGTTTTCACCTGTAAATCTCAGGATGTCAAGTCTTCAGAATTACAGCGTTTACAAACGCACCTTTTCATCGTCTCTAAAATGCTCCAGTTTTGAAAGTTTCCCAGTGGATAGAATTTCCTGGATCTGTGAACCGACAACATGAAACACGAAAAAGAAGTAAATACGTACGTGATTCTGTAGCGACTTCCCGATTGATGGAGCATTCTTCACTTGGTATACACTCGTAACTTGATATGGTAGCTTTTCCAGATAGGATATCGCCTTGTGATAGCTATAAGATCTTCTGTTGTCTCCAAGACCTGAAAAACGTTCATGAACGTTTTGATGTACTCTTGCCAACAGAAATGCTCACCGTTTTTGTATATGTCCCGGAGTTCTCCAAAAGGGCCTGTAATATTTTGGTTGAGGTTTGGAGGAGCATAAATCTGTTACACAATCTAGATATCAAACACGAGACCAATAAAAAGAGCCGCTTACCTCATTTTGCCCCGCGGAATCATCAGGTTCCTTTGGGAATACGAGTGCAGACCTCCATTCTTCACGTTTAGTATCACTGATGGCAGCATCAGTGTCTGAGTTTAAGGATTCAGTAGCACTCTCGTCAGTCGCTGTGCAATCAGTTCCAGTGCCAGCGGATTCTTCAGCTGAGGCACCATGATAATCCTGAAACAAATTGTAAGACTCTGCAGGCAACCTTTGCCCTGCCTTGAGACAGTCTTCCAGCCAGTCGTATTTCAAAAATGACTGAAAAAGAGAATGTGAGAAACATATCCAGCAAGAAATAAGGAACTCACCACTTTAAGCCGTTTCAGCCGTTTCAATCTCTTCCAATCCTTGCTCTGGTCCAAGTGTTGCGAAGAAACAGCAAAGACGTGAGTCAGCTGTTTTGTTACGTGATCTTCTATCTTTCCTCCCAATGCAGCGAGCTTTGTCTTCCACACCTAGCAACGCAGCACACAATTCATATCGTAGAAAAAAAAACCAAAACTCCCGGCTACCTGAAGACGAAGCTGGACCACACCAGCCTCCACAAAAAACCCAACAATCCCATCGAAAGAAAGCTTATCACTGGCGGTGGAAGTCGTCATGCGAAGCGCTAAGCATCACCAAGAACAAAATGTGAGAGAAAGGGGCTAAGTATTAAGTATTACTAGCACGCTACGTGTCGACTCAACTAAAAACAAGTTTGAAAAAGTCCATTCTAAAATTCTCTCGACGATCATCCAAGCAAACAACTTACTGTGTATGATCTTTCCAGTAGCCGAAGGACAAATCCCTCCAACCAAGCCGCATTCTTGATACCAAATCCTCGCCGCCGAGCCTGAGAAACGAAATTTGGTCAATCGAAGCAAAGATTTCGCGAAATTTCTCACCGGAGATTCCGACATTGATCGAAATCCACGGCAAAATCCGCCAAGAACTGCATCGCCGTGGAATCAAGCGCCTCGAGGGAGAAGAAATCCCGCCTCGCTTAAACCCTAAAACTCTACAACGCCACGTGTCGAAAACCAATTGTCAAGCTCTTTATTTACATTACATACACGAAAGACAAAACCTCTCTTTCTCAAACTTTGATGTGTAGAAGTTCTTCAACCGGGCATCTGCAAATCGGGCATAAATTTGTTTGGTGTCTCAACACATTGGCACAATCGCTACACATACACTGAGAAAAAAAAAAAAAAAAAAAGAATCAAAGTTAGAACCAAAGTAGAACAAACCAATCGAAGAACTTACCATATGCCTGCACGGCAAGACAGTCGTGTCCTTGGGCTCGGACAAGCAAATCACGCATTCTTTCCCAGAAGAATCGCTGCTGTTGTTGCTCGCTTCACTGCCACCAATCCCGAAAATCTCCTGGAGCTCGTAGCGAACGCCATCCACCCAGATGATCTGCTTGACAACTCGAACTTGGAGCTCACCCTCGTCCCCGTCTCTTTCAATCTTTCGTATCACGGCATACGTCTGTTGACAGTGGATCCACTTCTTGAGTGCTCCACCCACGGGCTCGGGGGATTCGGCAGCGTCGGGTGGTGGATTCTTTGGAGTCGTCTCGATCCGGATGATGAGAGGGTAGACGTTGTCCGTGCCGAGCTGCGAGAGATCTTGCTCGTCGATGAGAGAAAAGTCGAGGCCAGCTTCCTGCTTAAACTTCTGGCCCAGTCCACTCTTGAAGTGGTGCCTGGTAGGCGCTGGAAACATCTTACTGAGAGATGCCACGCTACCATTGGAAGTTTCCTTTGACAGGAAGAACACGGTGATACTGTAACAAAAAAAAAAAACGTTAGAAAAACGGAGGAGTTGTCTTGCGAAACTCCAGAAAACAAATACAGGCCACCGACCAAGAAATCTAATCTAATCAGTAGAGCCAAGATAAGAACTCGCATGAATCCATGAGCCCAGGCAACCAAACCATGAATCCAGGCAAGATAAGAACTCCCAGGCAAGTTCTAGCTATGCTAGAAGGGAAAAAATTGATGTTTTCATACCTTCCAGAAGTGGTGGCATCGAACGAGAACGCTACGACATGATTGCCAGGCATGGCCACGTCCCTCTCGAGCCGCAGCGTTCCTTTGTTGAGATTTACCTCGTTCCTGACCGTGTTGGCGGTCTGGTACTCTGGAACGGGCACTGGAGCTGGAGCTGGAGCTGACGAGCTTGGAACAATGGCAGTAGATCCATTCCAAGGCAGGGGAGTCCGCGGCGCTGGCAGGAAGAGCTGGGGAGGAGGAGCGGGAAGCCTTGGCGGAGGAGGCGGTGGCGCTGGAGTCCCGTAATATCCTTGCTGCTGCTGGAAGAAATAGCTCCCGGGGCGAGGAGGACGATAGTAGTATGGTGAGACCATATGGGGGCAAGGAGCGATCTCGGTGTGATAGCCGGGCGGAGGAGGAGGGAGCGGGGGATAGATCGGACCTGGCGGATGCTGCTGGTGGTGGTGGTGGCGTCGTCTTCTTCTGCTGCTACTGTTGCCCATGAATTTGGATCCCTGGCTCCGGATTGAAAGCGCGTTCTTCCTAAGAACCCTAGCCAATAAGAAATCAAAACTGAGCATATACAAAACGAATATACTTAAGCATACTCACCAGAATATGCTTTAGAAGGGCCAACTGCCTCCCAAGATTAGTGTTGAGTAGTTCACCAGGTTGTGCTAGAAAATGGGCTCTTCCATTGCTTCATACACAGCTGACCAAAGTATACCATAAATATTTTTGTACGGGGTTTCCAATGCTTGTCCATTTGGAGGGTGTTATTTCTTTTTCTCCAGTGAGTTTAAGGTGTTCAGCCACAACATCAAGCATGACACCATCTTCTAGGATTTCTAAAGTCTCTAAAAAAATATTCCAAGAATTGTTTTTGCATATATGCCATTTGGAAGGCATGCAAAATATTCTTTCATTTATATATTAGATACATGGTCCCACAGTGCCCACTATGAACATGAGATCAAGAGATTTAAAAGTGTCATTTTGAAGAAGATAATAATTATAATACTCCCATCAATGGTGTCTATGTTTTCTTATTCTTGATTAATGCCTCTATTGGAACATAGTCATCACCATGACTTATAAAGGGAGTACATAAGTATTATATCCCTTTGATTAATACATATGTGTGTCTTAAACATATAAACATCTTAAGGTTAAACACTTTGGGGTTTGAAAAATAATTGTATATTCTTGGTATTAAAAAAGTAAAGGTAGAAGAAATATTTTTTTAAGCCAATGTTGTAAGTGGTGAGGAGATTGTGAAGGGGCTATTAAAACAAGGGATACTAATTTGTAAATGATGGGAAAGTCTAGTGAATTTGAGGGATTAAAACTTCTTTTATCTCATAAAAATGATTTTAGATATTTTTTAATTGTTGTTAAAAAGAAAAAAAGTTTTTAAGTTAGCCATTGGAAAGGAGTGGCCACTATTAAAGCAGAAATAAAGTAATATTTAAGAAGTGGTCCCCAAAGCAAAAAAATAAAATATGAAAAGTGTAGAGGATTTCAAAGATGTTGATGACACCACAAGGATGATCTTGATTAAGAGAGTCAAATATGAAAACATTTTAAAAGTAAAAAATGCCACAACTTCAGCTGAGGTATAACGAATGTTTCATTTAATTTATTATGAGTAGTTATTGGCATCGAAAATAAACATATTTTGGCAAATAATAAATTATAAAAAGTAATGGAAAAAGCTTCAAAGTATAAAGTCTAACTTTGCAAATGTTATAAGGGCATTTTCTTTTTCAGGGTTGCTTTAATCCAAACAACAACTATTTAGGATTACAAATCCAACATTATAAAAATTTCATTGACATTTATGAGGGTAGAGATTTTGGAAAATTCACAAGAAAGAAGAACTTTTTAGAAAAGTTTATAACAATTGCAGCTCAATCATTAGAAAAAGGGTCTTTCAAGCTATTAAAGGTGTTACACTCAAATAAGTAGGTAAAAAAAAGGTTAGATAATTGTTCCCTGCTTTAAGTACCCGCACTCAGGCACGATATATAATAAGTATTATAGATTTTCTTTAGGAACTTTTCGGTTGCAACTTAAATCCATGTGTGTTTTGTGTCTAAATCTAATATTGGTTTAAAACGAATAAAAAAGAAAATGCACTAGATGAGCAACTTTTGGATTAAATGTATAATAGCAAATAAGGTTTTCTTACAAAAAATAACATATAGAAATTTTCCAGTAGATGTAAGCATAGCTAATGGTGAGTCTTTACGTATTGTTGTTTATGAATTTGTCTAATGGAGTTAAGAGGTGTTTTGTTTATACCTAGCTTAATTTAAAATTTGATATAAATTTCTCAACTTATAAGTCAAAGTGTTTATTCTTGTTTTCACTGCAATAGTGTTGATTTCAAGTACCTAAGATTTACAATTACTAAAAAAGGACTTTACTATCTCTCTTCACAACTTTAAATATTAGTAAATATAATAAATATGATTGATGCTTCTATTTTGCATCTATGGCATGCTTGCTTTACACATGCTAAATGGTATTAAGTTAAGGAAGTCAATTCTTTAATATATAAAGTTCCCTCCCTCAATAGAGTGATAATGGACAATTATGAAGCATGTATATAGGGTAAAATGAAGAAAAAATCACTCTTCTAAAATGCCAAGACTCAAGGTAATTTAATTCTAAATTTAGTTTATATCTTCACTAAGTAAATCCTGAATGAAACTTGTTATTATTTTCTAATTACTAATGATTTTTATTGTTTCTCAGCCATGATTTTCCTAAATTAAAAGATCAATAAATTTCATAATTAGATTAAGTATGTGGAGCACAAGTTTGCTTGCACCTTACATACTTTCTGAGTGGATAGAGTATATAAATTAATCTTTAAAAAATTCCAACTCATCTTGCATTAAGATGGTTTTCATACTTTTGGTTTTTGCAATTATTATTTAGTTGTAGAGTAGAAAAGAATGATTTTTTAAATGGAGAATTGGAGCAATTAATATACATTCAATAATCTCATACTTTTGAAATGGAAGGCAAAGAGACTTATATGTTTAAGTTAAAATAATCCATCTATGGTTTTAAACAATCCTTGTAGTATACTATTTTAAATAGCTTTTTTCTAATGTTGAGTTTCTACACATTAGAACATTTATGTTTTTCACAAAAACATTTTGGTTAGAGTATACATTGATGATTTAATTATGATAGAAAAAACATTCTCTCTATATTGGCTTAAGGAATAACTTGTGAAATAGTTGAAAATGAAAGATCTTGGTAAGTTTTGCTTAGATTCTTGTAATAAAAAAGTATGAACACTTTCAATCCATTAGTGAAAGTATATTAAAACGTTTTTAAGTGAATATTAGCAATTTTCACTCAATCATATGCTCATATTCCATCATTGCAAATTCATAAATTTTCTCAAGACGATGAATCTTGTACTAAAGGGGAGAAAAATAAATGCAAATTCTTTCATATCAAAATATTATAGATGCAGCGCACCTTATTTCTCTCCCCTTAAGCCAACTGGAAAAGGGGCAATTGCTTGATAAAAGAGCCTTTAGTGGCTATTTTATCCCCATTTATCCCCCAAGGTTCCAAGGATCCACAGTGACAGTATATCCACACTCACCCCCCTCTCAGAGATGTCAATATCTTCATTGATTATTGACTAGCAACCCCTACTGAGCCAAGGGGAATCAACACCTCCATTTCCGCATTAAATCTACCAAACCTTCTATTGTATAGACTAGCTATTTCATGTGAGGCAATTAGTCAGTCATTAGGGGAATCAACACCTCCATTTCCACATTAAATCTACCAAACCTTTTATTGTATAAATTAGCTATTTCATGTGAGGCAATTAGTCAGTCATCCAACCAAAGGGAACCAACACCTCCATTTCCACACTAAATCTACCAATCCTTCCATTATATAGACTAGTTATTCCATGATCTACCAAACTTTCTATTGTATAGACTAGCTATTTCATGTGAGGCAATTAGTCATCCAACCAAGGGGAACCAACACCTCCATTTCTGCACTAAATCTACCAATCCTTCCAACACCTCCATTTCTGCTCTAAATCTACCAATCCTTCCATTGTATAGACTAGTTGAGAAAGGACGTACACATGGATGCCTAATACATACGATTTTAAATTTAGAGGCGATTTTAAATTTAGGGGTAGGAACTACCAATCCTTCCATTGTATAGACTAGTTGAGAAAGGACGTACACATGGATGCCTAATACATACGATTTTAAATTTAGAGGCGATTTTAAATTTAGGGGTAGGAATATATCTTGCTCAAGGGTATATTATATTTTTTAAGTAGCCACTAATCAGTGGGAATCGAACCCGTGCCATTTGCCCTGATACTAACTATAACACACCTTATTTTTCTCCCTTTAAACCAACTGGAAAAAAGGGCAATTGCTTGATGAGAGAGCCCTTAGTGGCTATTTTATCCCCATTTATCCTTTAAGGTTTTAAGGATCCACGGTGACAGTATATTCAAATCTCACTACAATAGGAGTGATAATATCTTTAGTAGCAATACATTGTATGCTTTATTTCGTTAAAGTGGAACTTATTCAGTAAAGTGGGACATTAATTAGCATGTGTCCACATGCTATTTCCTAGTACTTAATTAATATTTATTAATATTTCTATCAGTTTTTTAATTTATTTTTTATATTTCACAATATTATAACACAAAATCATATGAAAAGTTTTTAATTTATAAATTATAAAGGTAAGACTTCAATTTTTTATTGTTGTTATAAAAATGGCATGTGGCCACACACCATAAGTGGGATAATGAAAAGTTCCACTTTAACAAAATAAAGCATTTGTTTAAATATTGCAAAAACTATATCAAAGGTATATCAATTTATGTAAGATTTAAAAAATCAACATTAATATATTCAATTATATTGAACAAATATCCACTCTCAACTTAAAGTTTCAATGCACAAAGATTGAAGATATTAGTATGGATTCTTAAAAGTGATATAGGATGGTGGATGTGGATTTAATAAGGGACTTTAACAATCAAAAATCAATAATAAAGTACATTTTCATGTAGTTAAAAATAAAGAAAAGTTGCACTTTCCACCTATTAAATTGAGTATAGTGTTGTGACTAAAATATTTAAGGAATAATTGTGAATGTGAAGATTTTACTAAGACAACAATTTTGAGATTCATAGAACACATGGAATGCAATCCTCAACCCTATTTATCAACATACACTTCAAAATATTTTTCTATTTTATATGTGAAAGGATCTAAATGAAAGAAATTCAGTTGCTCACATATCCATAACTAACTTGATAGTAAATTTACTGACAAAGACATCCTTGCTAGTGGCTCAATTTGAATATTTATAAATCAAACTTAGGTTTAAAGGTTGAGGTTAAGTTAAGTTATGGCATATTCACTAATGTAATTTATGAAGGTAAGAAGTATGTAAGTATTGTATCCTTTTGATTTATATATATATATATATATATATATATATATATATATGTTTGCCTATATATTTTGTCTCAACAACCCCTACTTCATACAATGTTGTGGAGGGTGATGGTGTCTTAGTTGATGAGAGTCATGTAAAGAGTTGGAGTAGCAATAACGGTAGTGGCATGAAATTTTGTTATGGTCATTTGGCATAATTGCCACTTTGAATCATTCTATAGGTGATTGATCGAAATGTAAGTTGTGATAAGGTGTTATGGCAATAGTGTGGTGGTGTCATAAAAGTTTGAATTTAGTAGTGTCATGTGGTTGGTTGGAGCTGTGAGTAAAGAGTCATTAGTGGTCATTATGAAAGGTTGCAATGGGGATGTAGCTATAAATTGAAATTATGGAGTTGTTGGTTGAAAGCTATGGTATCATATGTTTCTCTAAATTGTAGTTAAGCTTGAAAACATATTGTATCATTTGCTTAGCATGGGGCACAAAACTAAGTTTGACATGAAATGGTCAAAGATGCTTTACAAGACTAGCCAATTGTTTATGACTATTAAGTTATGGTAAATGTAAGCTAGGTTGTTTTCCCACTCATAATCATTTTATTCTACAGGATTTAGGATGATTAGTTAGGCATTACCATATTGTGTATAGGCTTGGGAGGTGAGTGTGTTGTGTTGTCTATAAACTATATATTTAAGTGGAGGATCACCCATGGGGAGCTTTGCTATATTGTTAACAAGCCAATAGTTGTAAAATAGAGTTGGGAGTTAATATAATGCATGTATAAATGGCTAGTTTAGGAATATAAGTTTAGCTAGTATTTTTTATTTTTATTATTAAAATTTAACACCATTTCAATTTTTAATTTTAAGTTATATTGAATTAAATAGTCCTTTTAAAACTCACAACTATTAAGAGTATTTACTTAAAAAAATGCCACTAGAGTATGACTATTAAGGAAATGGCCACTAAATAAAGCTTCATGAGTTAGAAAAATATTTGATTAAATTTATATTTAGTTTTAAAGTTCATTCATGCTAATTATTAAAAATTGAATAAATTATTTTTGAAGTATTTTCAACTTGAACAAGAACCTTCATTCTCTTTACTTACCATAATAATATAACTTATTGACAATGATTTATGCTTTATTATGCTATTGATTTTAAGGTTATTCATTCAAAAATCATACACACTATTGACATGAACTATTTTATATTTTATTTTTTTTTACAAATTTTACATTTCAGAATAGTGTTTTTATACTAACATTATTATGTTGTTTAATTCTTACTTATGCAATGCAATTTAATTTGTCTTCAATGCCTTATAAAGTGGAAAGGGTTTGAAACATAAAGAGTTTTAAGCAAAAATGTTCTCAAGATATTTTCTAATATTGCAATTTGCATATTTGTGTTCACTTAGAATTTGCAATTCAAGCAACACTTGTTAGTTAGAGGCTTGAAACAATATATCTACTAAGGCTTGCTACCCTTAGCAGTGCCTATAGATTTGGCAGTGGGTGGCAGTAGAGTGTTCCTGCTATTGATCAAAGTACCAATTTGCTAGAGCTGTTGAAGCTCAATCTGTGTTGCTGCTTGCCCTGATGGATGAGAACCAGTACAGTTCACGCAGCACTCATGGACGTTTATAAGATATAAATTGAGCACATTCCAACAAGACGTGGTTTATGCTAAAGTATTTTCCGTCCATTAAATGGGTTCTACAGCATATTCTGGTAGTCCTTAGTTCTTATTCAACTTTCTTCCTAAACGGGCTCTAGTGATCATCGTTGGATCTATGGGCCGCCACCGGACGCTGTCCTAATGATCTGTAGCAACGCTGCGCAGAGCAGACAAATCGGAGTCAGGATCTACACTCTAGAACCGCAAAATCGATAGATCGACAAGCAATCAACGGATTACCTGAGCCGATGACCACGAAAATGAAGAACCCTAGAACAATTGGGCCAACTGGGTACGCGTTGCCCTTTTTGATGCTCGATTCGGGCACCGCGCCCCGCTTGAAGATGTTCTTCTGGAATTTCTGGATCTTCTTGTCGGCCAGTCGCTTGGATGTCGTCTGCAAAGCCCAGGAACCCAAGATTTAGTCGAAGAGAAGAGAGAGGAAGAGGAAGAGCTCACCATTCTCTTGCCAAATTGGCTCCGCGACTTCCCCCAAACACCCAAAACCTAAATCTGCGAAAGAGAAAAATGTCAAAGAAAAAGGATTCCCACGCGGACTCTGACCTGGCACAAGACGCGGCGATGACTCGGCAGGAATGCTGACGCGGACCTGACCTGGCCCACGACGCGGCGATGACTCGGCAGGGATGCTGACGTGGTCTTCTTCTTCTCCATGGTCGTAGCGCGCGCCCCAAATCTCGGTGGAATCGAGAGCCCGGACGAGAAGTTTGCCCCGGCACACTATGCCAAGCTTATCAAATCGTGCGCTATCTCCAGGGATCTGCTCGAGGCACGGCGGATCCACTCGCTGGTAATCCACAGCGCGCATCGCAACGATCGCTTCCTGAAAAACCTCCTGATTGAAATGTACGGCAAGTGCCACAGCATCGAGGACGCCCGGATTGTCCTGGATCAAATTCACGAGCCCAATTGCTACACCTGGAATATCGCTCTCGTGGCATTTGCCGAGAACGGGCATCTGGAGAAAGCGCGGAAGATCTTCGAGGGGATTCCACAACCCAACAGCGTGGCCTGGAACTCTATCATCACCGCCTACGCCAAACATGAGAATCTCCAGGAAGCGAGAAGGTTCTTTGAGAAGATGCCAGATCCCAACGTGGTGACGTGGACGGCAATGATAACAGCATATGCTCAGCAGCGGCATCTTGGCGAGGCGAGAGATCTCTTTGACCGGATGCCGGTCAAGGACGTGGTGGCGTGGACCAGCATGTTGACCGCATATGCCGAAAACGGGGATCTGGAGCAATCAACGAATCTGTTCGAAAAGATGCCCCAGAAAGATATCGTTGCTTGGAATGCAATGCTCGCGGCGTATTACCGGCTAGGTCATTTGTATCAAGCAAAAGAACTTTTTGATACCATGCCTCGAAAAGATTCTGCGTCCTGGAATCTTATGATACTAGCATATGCCGAAGTTGGGAATATTGCCGAAGCACAAAAACTTCTTGAACTAAATCCTTGTCGTGATGTCACGGCTTTTACTATCTTGATCACTGCTTTTTCCCAGCACAAGAAAGTAGAGGAAGCTTTTAAATTGTTCAGGGAAATGCCTCGTCGCGACATTGTGGCTTGGAACGCTATGCTAGCGGGATATGCCCATAACGGGCATCTTGAGGAGGCAAAATTTATGTTTGACCACATGCCTCAAAGAGATTCGATCTCTTGGACCACCTTGGTAGCAGCATATGCCTGGAACGGGCATCTTGGAGAAGCTAGAGCTATGTTTGAAAAGATGCCAAACCAAGACTATGTGACAGTGCCAACTTTGATAGTTGCGTATGCACAGCACGGGCATATTATACAAGCAAAGAATTTGTTCTCAAGAACTTCTCAAGGAGAGGTAATGTCGTGGAATGCAATGCTCACATCCTACATTTTAGGTGGCGAGCTGCAAAGTGGTCTAGATCTTCTTTTTGATATGGCTGTGGAGGGCCTCGGTCCTGACGAGATCACGTTTCTTTGCATTCTCTCGGGCTGTGGTCACTTGGGACTCTTGGAAGAATGTAGAAAGCACTTCAAGAGGATGAGATCCGAGTATAACTTAGCTCCAGGGATCGAGCACTTTGTGTGCCTCGTTGATATTCTCGGTCGATGCGGCCAGCTCGCAAAGGCCGAGGAGCTCATCAAGACGATGCCTTTCGTTCCAAATCGTGTTTCGTGGTCGACTTTTCTGAACGCTTGCAAGATCCAGAAAAGCTCGAATCATTCCGCAGTGGAAGTCGTGAAGACGAGCCCCGATAAAAAAGACGCTGCCCCGTTTGTGATGCTCTCAAATCTCGTCACTCCTTGATCCGGAAGTTCTCGCTCAAACTTTGCTAAGATTTTCATCACTGGACGGACGAATCGTGTCTAGTCCACTGCTACGATGTTGGACAGGAGAATGTACGAGGAAGTATCTTGCGAGTCGAGTGAGTGTAAGCTCTCGGCAGCTCGAGCCCCGCGAGATCTCTCTCCGTGAACTTTGGAGGCCGCGAGGAAACCCGACCAGGCAACGTTGTCGGGCGACACGGGCATGCTCTCGAGAAGCTCATTGGCTCTTTGGAGCTGGCCGGCCCTCGAGAGGCAGTCAACTATACAGGAGTAGTGTTCCTTGCCGGGGGACAAGCCATGGTCAAGCACCATCAAACTAAAACAATGATGGCTGTCTTCCATCATTCCTAGGTGGCTCAAACCGGTTAAGATCACAAGGAACGCTATGTGACCGGGTTTAAATCCTTCGCACTCCATCACTCTCAGAAACTCGAGTGACTTTAACACTGTGGCTTTGTTTCCTCCAAACGCAAAGGCCGTGATCACGGCAGTCCAGGAGACGACGTTCTGTAGAGGCATTTCATCAAAGAGTTTGAGCGTGGTCTCGATCTTCGCGTTCTTAGCGTAAGCAGCAAGCATTGTGTTCCAGGAGGCGGTGTCTCGCTGCGGAAGATCGTCAAAAACTCTCTTGGTTTGATCGATGTGGCTGTTTTGAGCATAAGCTCCAAGAAGTGTGTTCCAGGAGACGATGTCTTTCGCGGGGGTTAAGCTGTGGAGCTCTTGAGCTTCGCGGAGATGGCCAGCTTCTCCATAAGCTGCTGCTAGAGCGTTCCAGGAAACGGTGTCTCGCTCAGGCATCTCATCGAAACATTTTTTAGCTTCTTCTAGCTTGGAGTTTCGAGCGAGGGCGATGATTATCACGTTCCAGCTCGAGAGATCTCTCCGTGGACTCGACTCAAACATCTCTCGAGCGATCTGGAGGCGTCCATCCCTGGCGAGCACGGAGATCATCAAGTTCCAGATCACGAGATCACATTCTGGAGTTCCGTCGAAAAGCTCAGTGGCTTTCCTCAAACTTCCAACTTGAGACAATGCCGTGATCATCGTAGTGTAGGAAACTAGTGACCTTTGCGGCATAATGTCGAACGTTCTTTGGCACTCTTCAATATGCCCGGCTTCGGCATATGCAAAAAGCTGGATATTCCAAGACATTAGATTTCTTTCTGGAATTTCCAGGAATATCATTTTCGTTTCAAATGCATGTCCAGCTTGGGCATAGGCCGACATTATAATATTCCAGGAAAGAATATTCCTCAAGGGCATAGTGTTAAAAAGCATTCTAGCGTCGCCAAGATACCCTTTTTCGGCATATGCTGTTATCAAGGCATTCCAAGTAGAAACATCTCGATCTTCCATTAAATGGAAAAGATTCTTTGCCGCGTCAAGGTTTCCATGCTGCGCACACGCTGTTATCATGGCATTACAGGATATTACATCCTTCTCGGGCATTTGATCGAAAAGATCCTTTGCCTGGTCAAGATACCCTCTTTTGGCATATGCTGAGATCATAGCCGTGGTTGAAATTATGGTCTTTCTCGGCATTCGATCAAAAAGACGCTTTGCATCCTCAACTCTATCGTAGATAATGTAGCAATTTATGAGAATATTCCAAGAGATATCGCTGTCCTTGGGAGATTCCTGGAAGATTTCCACCGCCTCCTGAAGATGCCCACCCTGGGCATATGCCGCGAGCATCGAGTTCCAGGCCACATCGTTCTTCGCGGGCATCGCGTCGAATATTCGCTTGGCGCCATGGAGCTCGCCGTTTAGGGCGTAGGCGTTGAGGAGGATGCTCCACGAGTAGATGTTGGGATCAACGATGCGATCGAAGACAATGCGCGCCTCCGCGACGCTGCCGAGCTTGCCATACATCTCCACCAGCAGATTGGCCAGGTATCGGCTATGGCGCTCCGGCGATCGCTGGATTTGCTCGTGGATCGCCCGCGCCTCCGCCAGATTGCGCGTGTTCCCGCACCGCCGGATGGATTGCGCTAGCATCTCGACCGGATCGAGGTAATCTCGCCGGGGAATTGGTGCATTGCGGTGCCCGGATTGAGCTGATGCTTGCAGCATTTTTCATCCCTCCCAAGAACCCTAATTAGGGCTTTAGCGATGGGGAGGAGAGGAAGGGCGACCGTTGTCGTGCTTGGCGATTTTGGAAGGAGCCCCAGAATGCAGTACCACGCCTTGTCTTTGTCGAGCCAGGTAAATCTTCCAGCTCAAACATCTCTTGCTCCAAAATCTCTCGATTTCTCTCGCCTAGGCTGGCATGGACGTGGATGTCATTGCTTTCGCAGGTAAATCTAGAGCTTTTCTTTGTTCTTTTCGATCTTATTACTATGATAGGAGCTCAACCACACCGAGCTGTGCTAGAAGATCCCAAGATTTCTCTTTATCTCATGGTAAGCTCGCTTTTTTGCTCTCTCTTTTCTCGTAACTCTCGTCCTTTTTGTAGAGCGTGCCAAGCTTTCAAAGACTTCCGCGACTGTTCTATCTGCTGGCACTACCTTTTAAAATCCTTCTTCAGCTATTACACCTCTTGTGGCTTCTCCTTGTTAAAGTGCCATCCTCGGACGTTGTTCTTGTCCAAGTAAGCTAAACCATGGCTTTTTCTAGTATCACTTTGTTCTTATTTGTGACTTTCTAGAATCCACCCTCAGTGCCAGTCCTGGCAGTGGTAAAGTGGACGTGTGTGATAAGAAAGTCCGCGTTCGTAATCGACTGGCACAACTTTGGCTATACTTTATTCGGTCTTAGATTGAATCCAAGCCATATTCTCGTCAAACTCTACTTCTGGTACTACTTACTTGTAAAGTCGTATTCTCGGACGCTTATTATCGCTGCAGGTTTGAAAAGCGTTATGGTAAAATGGCCGATGGCCATCTATGCGTCACGAAAGCGATGCAACACGAGCTTGCAGAGAACTGGGGGATCAGGTCAGGCATTCAACGTTTCTCGCAAAACACTGGCTTAACTCTTTTCATGTTCTGCAGGGCAACCGTTGTCTACGATAGATCACCCGAGTTTTTCCAACCCGCTACCTTGGAGGGAAAGCACGAGGTAAGCTAAAGTTGAGCTGTTTTTTAGATTGCTAGCGGAAACTGATGCATTTTCTTACAGCTGTTTTTAAGGCTGGATGGCTTGTTTAGGCAGCCACTGGGTGAATGGGATTGTTGTTCTGTAAGACTGGAGGAAGATGAGAACGTTCGGTTAGCATCCAGGCAGTATGCTGCTGGTCGAAGGGATTCGAGTAATGTTGCTAGCTCCTCCTGGACCCTCTTCACTTGTCGAAAGTTCGCAGTGGAGGACCCGAGAAAAGAAATCCAGGAGGGCGACCAGTACTTCTATCTGAAAGAAAGGCCAGCACTTATTGTGAGCAGTACTAGCTGGTAAGCGTGCCTCCAAACTTGTATCTCGTGTTCTGACCGTTGCAACAAATCGCAGGACTCCAGATGAGGACTTTGAGATACTGTTGGAGGCTGCTGTTATGTATGACCGACGTGTGGCGGCATCGCTGGGAGAGCACATAGACAGTGCTTCGGGTGATAGGCGACCCATGAAGAATGCTAGATGTGTTTTCCCTCGTCTTCTCATCGTTGTTACTGGTATGATATTTCTAGTTCAGCCAGTAATTCTTTTTTTCTGTTTCTTATTCAAGGCAAAGGTCCCCTGCGACAAGAGTACGAAGAAAGGATAAGCAGGCTACGTTTACATCATGTTGCATTTCGAACGATGTGGCTCGCTGCTGAGGATTATCCTCGTTTGCTTGGTAAAATGGGTTCTAGCTTTAGATTTCACCTGACGTGCTGGTTTTTCTTTCTTTTAAGGATCGGCTGATCTCGGGGTTAGCTTACATACTTCCTCGTCCGGTCTCGATTTGCCTATGAAGGTGTGAGGAAGACTTTCTATTTTTCTGACTATCTACATTCCAATGCAGGTTGTGGACATGTTTGGATGCGGATTACCTGTGACGGCCGTTTCTTATTCATGGTAATTAGCTCGCAGCTTTTGGTTTGTTTCTTCAGCGATTATTTTCCTGTGCAGTATTGACGAGCTGGTCAAGGATCACCAGAATGGGCTGCTTTTTTCGTCTGCTTCAGAACTTGCAGACCAGTTTATGGTATGAATGTTTGTCTGTCTGCCATGGAGTGACACTTCTTATGCCTCAGGATCTATTTCAAGGTTTTCCAGACAACTGCGAACACTTGAAGCACTTGAGAGACGGAGCCTTGGCATCGGGTTCGTGTGCGAGATGGGATGACGAGTGGGAGAAGCAAGTTCTTCCGCTTATTTCCAGGTTTTTGCGACATTCTTTCATTTCTCGATGCTAACTTTCGTTTCGTTTCGGTGCAGATATTAGACTCGAGGCAATGTACATACACCCGAGAGACTGGTTTAACGAACTTTCGTTGGTAGAGCAGTGTTTTGAACCTCGGAATTTAATTGAACGAACAAGATCTTGCAAGCTTGGACGGCGTCGATGGCTTTGCTCCGAGATGGTTTCGCACCCTAGGGTTCGCAGGAAATGCAAAGTGGACCACGATGAGCGAGGACGTCGACAAGCACGTCTTGCGGAAGTACCACGTTTGCCAGAAGCTCGGCAAGGGTGTAAGTTGACGGCTCAAAAAGAGTTTTTTATTTGGTGGTGTTATAACTGCTTTGTTTTACTGTTTGCAGGCTTATGGAATCGTCTGGAAAGCGTTTGATAGGAAGACCAACGATGTTGTTGCTCTCAAAAAGATATTTGACGCGTTTCAAAACTCGACTGATGCTCAGGTTTGTGGTTCTTTGTCAGAAGTTCCATCTTTCTGACTTGCTGGTTCCAACGTAGAGGACCTTTCGCGAGGTGATGTTTCTTCAGGAGATCAACGATCATGAGAACGTCATCAAGTTAGTTTCCCCACCTCTTAAGACTGCTGGCAGTTACATTAATGAACTCGCAGGTTGACAAACGTTCTCAAAGCGGAAAATGACCGTGACTTGTACCTAGTGTTTGAGTACATGGGTAAGTTTGCAAGAAAAACTGTAAGCTTATCGATCCATTCCGCAATTTTTCTCCGCGCAGAAACGGATTTGCATGCTGTTATAAGAGCCAATATTCTCGAGGACGTACATAAACAAGTAAGTTCTTCCGGCTTTTATGTTTGGCTAAATTAGAGGTGTTTGCAGTACATCATGTATCAACTCTTTAAATCTTTGAAGTATTTGCACAGCGCAGGGCTGCTGCATCGCGATATCAAGGTGACTTTGTTCAGCCATTGTAAAGAACTGCTGAAAGTATTAATGCTTTGAACTTTCAGCCAAGCAATCTACTTTTGGATTCGGATTGCCGATGCAAGCTTGCAGATTTTGGTTTGGCACGATCGGTATGCTGCTTATGAGAACGCTTTACAATTCTTGTATGAGCCTTTCCTTTTTTGAGTGAAGGTTGCCCAATTGAAAGATGACATGGGACAAGCGCAAGTGCTAACAGACTATGTTGCTACTCGATGGTACTCCAATTAGAAGCATCTTCACATCATGGATTTTACAAAATGTGGTTTATCAAACAGGTATAGAGCACCCGAAATTCTTCTTGGTTCCACAAAGTAAGCAGGTGAGACTTTTATGGTAACCGTTTGTGAATTAACAATCTCGCTTAACAGCTACACCTTTGGAGTGGACATGTGGTCGAGTGGCTGCATTCTTGGCGAGTTGTTGAACGGGAAGCCTGTTTTTCCAGGTGAGTCTGTGATAAACACGGGAAAATCTCTGAATCTCTCTTGGCACTGGCACGTACAGGGGCATCGACTATGAACCAAATTGAAAAAGTTCTGGATCTAATAGGAAAACCGGCTTCGGTATGTGACGCGCTGATTTTTCAGCCGGACTAACACTGTTTTGATGAGACAAAGTGAAGGACGACATAGCAGCTTTCGAATCGCCATTTGCTGCAGCTATGATTGAGAACATGGCTATAACTGGCCCCAGGTGGGAAAGAATAAGAGTTTTAAGATTGATTTAGTGTTTCACTCCGAGCAGATCATTTAGAAAAGCTTTCCCCAGCGCCACTGCTGAAGCTGCGGACCTACTACGCAAATTGCTACACTTTAATCCTCAGAAGAGGCTTACAGCGGAGGTAACTTTGCAACTTCTTTTGCTATAATCTTCCTGATTTGTGTGTGTGTGCTGCAGCAAGCATTGCAACATCCATACGTAGCTCAATTTCACAACCCTCGTGAGGAGCCATCGTGCAATCGATTGATCAGGATTCCCATTGACGACAATCACAAGTAAGAGCTGGGTTTTTTCTGTCGCTCTGACTTATCCCCTTTTGCTTTCAAACAGATTCACGATCCACGAGTATCGGGAAAGGCTATACGCCGAAATCATCAGCCGGAAGAAAGAGATCAGGAAGAAGGCTCGAGAGCGAGAACGGAGCCTCCACAGAGAGATGTCAAGAATGCAATCGAGACGCTCGTCTTACCATCCCAGAGCAAGCTAGAAGTGAGCTTTCTTGCTCTCCTGTTCTGTAGACTTATTCGAGATCTCTCTCTTCCAGCTTCGCGAAACTTACACCAAGTGCCTGTCGCGGAGGAACCCCACTCCTTACTTCATCGAGAATGGAAAGAGTGGATCAATCGCTCGAAGTAGAGAGTGGGGTTCTGTCCGTGACAGAAACTTGGTATGTCACGCATTGCTTGCCACTGAGATCTGCGTAGAAAAGCACGCAAAGAGTTAAAGAGATCTTTCGTTAGCTCCAAATGCCCTCACCATATAACATGGAGCACGCGAGTCAGTCATATCCAAGGGTCCTCACCATACACGCGAGTCAATGATATTCAAAGGTCCTCACCATATAAAATGGAGCACGTGGTCAACATTCGGCACCTAGTCAAAGTTTAGGTCAACTTTAGGTTAACAATGCATTAACACTGCATTGTTAATGCAGTGTTAAAAGCTTGCTTTCACTACAGTAAAAAGAGTTCTTCCTAAGAAGAATGAAAGAAGCGTTCACTGTTCGAGGGGAGAATTTGCTACTGCTTGATCCAATTCCCACTCGTAAACACCCTGGCATTCCTCTGCGAGGCTCGTGGAGCACGCCCGGACGATCGATCGCAAGGCGAAGAGATTCGTCTCCACGCCCTCGAGATCCATCTCCCGGAACAATCCCAGCGCCTGGCGACCCAGCCCGCGATGCGCACACGCCCACAGCATCGTGTTCCACGACACCGCATCTCTCTCGCGCATTCCCCGGAAGAAATCCCAGGCCCTCTCCATCTCCCCGCACCTCGCAAAGAGATTTAGCACCGAGTTCTCCACGCCAATGTCCAAATCCTCCGTGCTCTCGCGGATCGAGACCCCTAGCTCGAGCCTTCCCTGTACGGCACACGCGAGGATCGCGCACCGCCGCGCGTGAGAGCTTGGCCGTACGCCCCGGGACACCATAGATTCGTAGAGATCAAGAGCCTCGTCAAAATGCCCGTGTTGGGCAAATGCTGCGACCATCGCGTTTGCCACCATAGCATCTCTTGGAGCGAATTCCTCGAACAACGCTCTTGCGCAATCGATGCATTCGCAGCGCACATACATTTTCAAGATGCTGTTTTGGAGAGCTTCGAGGAGTTCTTGGCCGGTGGCAGCGATCCTCGCGTGAACAGCGATGCCATCTCTGGGCATCTTGAGAGATCCACACGCCTCGAGCGCGGCCGCGAAGATCGCCGCATTGGGCTCGATCTCCGCCTGGAACAACAGCCTCCGGTAGAGATCGATCGCCTTGCGGTGCTGCCCATTGCGCGAGTACCCCTCGATCATCGAGCTCCACGACGCGGCGTCCTTGATCTTGATCCTCGCAAACGCCACGCGCGCCTCCTTCGTCCCGCCCAATCGCGCCATCGCCTGGACGAGAAGATTGCCCACTTGGGCATCCTCCGCGGCCCCAGGCAAGCTCGCGAAGATCCGGGCCTGGATCGCACGCGCCTCTTCCAGCGACTGGGCGCTCGCGAGCGACGATTCGATCCATCGCCAGTGGGAGGAGAGAGGGGACCGGCGATCCGAGAGGTGCTGCTGTGCCAAGTCCGCCCATGGATCGCCGGGGAGATTGGCGACCATCCACGAGAGGTAAGAATTGGAGACGCTGCTTAGGCGCTTCCCCTTGTGCCTTCCAAAGCTAAGAACAATCGAGTTGCGAGCGCTCTCATTGGTTTTCTCTCCAGAGCACAGCGCGAGAATTCTCACTCCCACTCCCACCGATTGGATCATCGATACAAATCTTTAGCTGAAAAAGCTAAAAGAAATCAACACCGCTTTCTTCTAGGCCGGATAGATCTCTCAATTCATCGAACTCGTGGATGCCTCTGTTTCAAAAGCTTGAGTTTGTAAATTGTAATTTCGCCGTTGCCGGGGATTGAACCCGGGTCGTCCGCGTGACAGGCGGAAATACTCACCACTATACTACAACGACATTAGACAATTACTACAAAGGATAAAAGGCAATTAGAAAAACTACATTTACCCCAAATTTTCAGATGGCTCCCTTAGTTTTTTGTTAATCAATTCTAATTGTCTTCACGTTTATTGATTGATATTTTTTTCTTTGTTTCTTTTGTATTGGAGTTTCTTCCTTATTCATGATATAATCGGGTAGATTTTGTTGAAAGGTCTGTTTTCCTTTATTCAGGATTTACAAGCTTTCCATCTGAGAAATTTTTTGGCATGATGCACAACATTTTTTTCTACTTTATCTCTGATAGATTTTTTTGTTAGCATGAAGAAGCACCTCTTCTTGATCCAGCTCGATCTGGCGCCTTGTAGAGCCGATCCCGGGTTCGAACCCACCCGAAGAGGGACCCAATTCTTTTAAACATGTTGGGGGAGAGATTCGAACGTGTCACGTCTTAGTACTTCGACAAATTTTGGAGGTCCTGTAGGAGAAAAAAATCTATAAAACCTTTTTCAACATTATCAAGTTAGTGTCTTAGTGATCCAAGGTTCTTCCTTTCAACTCCAAGCTAGATCTTTCCACTTCGCGGTGGATCAAACACGAGAGGGAGAGAGTCCCGGTCTCCTCTCTTCACGTGTTCTTGCAGCTTCGCTCTTCCCTGCGATGGCCGACAGCGTTTAGAACATATGGCGAGAGAAAACCAGAGATTTCTACCTGAATCCGAGCGTAAGTTATCTGGCAGATCTTCCTCGAGTTGTGCGCTTCCCATTGCAGGTTGTGGAACGCTTTGTAAAACCTCCCGCAGGCCGCGACCGAGACGAAGTTGACAAATGCGTAACCAAGGTTACACTGGTTCCTGGGAAAGCAAGCTCTAGACCGCGTACATAGTAAAAGAACACTCGACGATGGTCACCTGGGATCGATCGGAAGGTACAAGAAATCGTACGCGGAAACATCCTCAGAACTGTCGATCTGCGCATTGCATTGAGCGCAATGACCATCTATCTTGTCCATGAGCTTCTCCTGACTGCAAAGAGCACAAAAACAAGAATGAGAAGCGATCGATGCATAAGAAAAGAGAAACTTTTACCTGTATTTGTTGGGAAGATTCTTGATCATGAGAGTCGTCCTCTCGTCCTTCAACTCCTCGTCGAATTTGTACGAGCAATCCTCGAGCATTCTTCTCCTTTCCTTCGGATTCCCACGAGCACCTGACAAACTCCACAAAGGAGCTTGCCAAGCTTGGTACGTGCTTATAGCCGGAGGAACGCCGGCGTAGAAACCAGGCGGAGTAAAGAGCGGCGCCGCTGCTGGAGGAGGGGCCTTCCACTCCACCGCGCGCTGGAAGCTCTCAAACGCCACCGCCGGGTACAAGTCGAGGATGGAATGGTGCTCGCTGTGCCTCTGGAGCATCCCACCGGGGCGACTGAACTCGATCTTGACAGTGCTGCCGAGAACGTCCTCGCCATCCAGCGCCTCTTTCGCTCGAGCGGCGTCGCGTACGTCGAAGAACTCGACGAACTTGTGCGTTCGCTTGATCGGAGTCTCTCGGATCTCCTTCACATCACCTGGCCGGCAAGGCAAATTCCAGAAAAGAGTTAGAATCTCAGAAGCTGGAAGTTGGCGGACACCATAAAAGCCGAGAAAATAAAATCTAGCGAATCTAGTGCTTCTAGATTTGCTATTTAATGCGTGTTGCCTATAGCGCAAGTGGAAAGAACTCTAGAGCTTAGCTCGCAAATCTCAAGAAAGAACCAGTCCCACGCAAGACAATGATAGAACACTCACAGAACACAATGCCAAAGAGCAAGCGATCTTCGAGAAAGAAAGAGCTACCTAGAGATGAAGAGAAAAATCCATTCTTACCGTATTTCTTGAAGACGCTGTTGATGGTCTCGATGGAGATGGCGACATCCAGGTTGAAGACGACGAGCGTGCCTTGATTCTCCATCTCTGGAAACTCCTCCTTCTCGCTCACGCAGCAGCACAGCGGCACGAATTTGGCCCACAGCGCGGCGCCGCAAACGAGGCCCCGCTCGCGGCGCAGCTTCTCGCCGGCGGCGCGCAGTGCCGCCCGCGTCACCTCGATCTGGCGCCGCGCGGCGCTCTTGGCGTCCTCTCGGACAGCGTGACGCCAGGCCCTCTGGAAGTGATCCATCCGGCGGAGCAGCAGGAATTTGTGCTGCTGGATGAGGTGCTGCGCGTGGATGTCCTTGAGCGCCTGGGCGGCGTGGCGGACGTCGCAGTAGTGGGCGATCACAATGCCGCGCTCCGCCATGGCGGCGAAGGAGATGTAGCGCAGCGCGCCCCACTGCTCGAGCTGGGACTGGAGCTGGCCGGGATCGATCGGATAGGGGATATTGCCGAGGATGAGCGAGCGGGAGGAGTGCTCGCGAGCGATGGAGGATGGAGCGATGTGGCGGACGTTGGAGATCGAATCGAAGATCGGCGAGGGATAGAAGAAATACTGTGCCATGCCTTCTTCTTCTCCTCCTCGATCGCAATCTTCTTGAGCCGATGTCTCGGATTCCTCTCCACTTTCTTGCTGCTCGACGCGATTCTCATCCTCGTCGGAAGATTCTTGCACGAGACTAAACTCGTGCCGACGATGGGGAGGAGCAAGAGGAGAAGAGAATGCCGGGAGAGGAGCGATCGATTCTTCCAGCGGCTGAAACTCCCGAGCATCGGGATTGAGCTTGGACAGGATCGGCGCGGGGAGGAAGCGCGGAAAGATTTTGATCCATTGAGCCGGAGCAGGATCGACGATCGGCGGAGCGAAGATCATCATTCTGCCCGCCCAAAATGCCAAGAACCCTAAATTATACCCCTGTTCCGTCCCCCATCCAACGGCTCGCACGGCGGGACATCCGACGGCTGTGGACACACTGTACGGTCTTGGAAGCGCGTAAAGGCCAAAATCTTTCACAAATCACCTCTCGTGTCACTCTCGCTTAACTTCCCACCGTACGGCCTTCCGAGAGTGATGGAGGGCGGCTCGAGCACAAGCAAGCCGGGACAAGAATATTCTTATTCCTCGATTCCCAGGCTCCAAACCGGATCGCAATCATTACACCTTTCTATCGTTTTCTCTGTAGGGTAGCCCTACCACCCTATCCCCACGACACACATTTTCTCTATCTTACGTACTCGACGCCCAGCCATGCACAAAAGAAATTTTGCGGAAGATTTTCTAATTAAGGCTGGATCCGTACGGATAAAGTATTTAACGAGACAGTTAAATACGAGACTATTAACTATCTATCTTCCCCTAAACGAAAATAGTATAATTTTAATTAATCTAAAATATTTATAAACTTTAAATTAGAAAAAGGTGGTGGAGATCTAAGTGGGAGTGATCCCGGCATTTGCTATTCGAGATAAAAGAGAGACAAGACATATACACAGGAGGATTGCCTGGAGCAACGCCAGGAACCCACGCCGGAGAACTAAACCTTTGCTTTCCTCTACATCCAGCCACTGGCTTTGGATGGTCTCCAGCTCCATCACCCTCTTCTTGAGCTCTTCCACGCCATCGTCTTGGCTCGCAGCTGGGGAAAAAGATCTGGCAGCCACTTCGTTGCGATCGCGATGGAGATCTCGATGGCCATCCATCGAACTCTTCAAAGTGTGCGAGTCTTTCAAGTTGTTTTCCACCATGTTGTTGAGAAGCCCCTCTTGGAGCTGGACCACTCCGATCAACTCGTCGACGAATGTGACCAAATGTTCCTTGACCAGTTCTTGAGATTCGTGAAGAGAGCTCGAGGATCTTGGCTGCGACTGCGGTGCCTCCTGGAAAACAGAAGAATTCATCGTCTCTGCATGCTGCTGCCTCTCTAACGACGAGCATTGATCTAGAAAAACTTTTGCGGGATCTAGAAAAAAAAACCAAACCGAAAAGGGAAAAAAATGAAAGAGAACCAGCCTATACCTCGAATCGCATCGATGGAGTCCAAGCTCGGACTCACAGTCATCGGCAACAGCTTTGGAGTTGCTGCCTCGGATGGATCTGTCCAAAGAATGGAGTCTCAAACCAAAAAAATAGAATCCTTCTTTTCTGGGAGACCCGGCACTACCTTTCGATGGCGAGCTCGAGGAAGAATCACTGGAGCACGACGATGAAGAAGAAGAGAAGGGCCGGCAACTGGATCTGGAAGAGCTGCCGGAGGAGAAATTTCCATCGACGATCTGCCAGGAGAGAGATTTCTTGAGCGATTGCTCCATCCGCAAAATCTCGAGCAACTGCTGCTCCTCCCGGCGCCGATGCGTGGCCGGCATCGCCAATCTTGCCCTGGGACTGTATGCGCGATGAAAAGCCGCGACGATCTTGTCGATCGGGGGCTCGTCGAGCGCGTCGTCGATGTAGAGCCTGAGCCGCCTAAGATCTGACACTAGGGCCTCCATCCATCCGCAAGAACCATAAAAATCCCTCGCGCTTCTTGCATGCGATGCTTTTCTTATTTAGGGTATAATCACGACAGCGTGGCATACACGTGTCCGCCACGTCGGAAGAGCCCTAAAGCCCCGGACGCCGGGGCAGGAATTAAATAGGGCTGACTGTTGTGACTATTGCGTCTTCGTCGTTCTCCATTTTCCTCCAAATTCTCTCCCTCGTCTAGACCTAAATATCGCCTCCCAGATCGCCGTGTTCTTCGCCACATTCTCTTCTCCACTGCAATCGGCTTGGCGGCGCTCTAGGCGCCGTGTGCTCGAGGTGAGAATCGCTGCATCTTTCTTCTCTTTCGCTCGCCAGCGCCTCGATTTCTAGAACTAGGGCTCTTGATTTGGAGCTCTCGCGTTTCTTTTCACGCGGATTTCGACTGATTGCTGGATTGGCAGTGGCAGGAATGGGGAAGGGGCCGGGGATGTTTGGCGATATCGGCAAGCGCACCAAAGGTAGGCTCTGCTCGCTCAGGATTAGGGTTTTGGGTCTAACCTAGTGGCTGCCACTCCAGACCTCCTGACCAGGGATTTTACAAGTGATCAGAAGTTCACCGTGACATCGTCCACGAGCTCGGGCCTTGTATGGACTTCTCTTTCTTCTTTTTCTCTTCAAGAGCTAATTAATCCCCTTCTTTTATAGACATTCACATCGTTCGGAAACAAAAAGGGGGAGCAATTTGCTGGGAATGTCAACACCCAGTTCAAGACGAACAACATGACTGTGGATGTCAAAGTCGACACGGAGTCCAATGTGAGCTTCCAACTTGGTCTGATCATCGCATTGAGCTAAAGAACTGGTGTTCTAGATTCACGGAGTCATCACTGCCGATGAGATTGCGAAGGGTGCTAAGACGGTGTTCACGTTCACCATTCCTGACAATAAGTGTGGCAAGGTACGCAAGCTCTAGAGCTGCTTTATGTTTTGTTCCGGCTTGACTTTGGGTTTTCCCAGATCGAATTCCAGTACGTCCATGATCTGTTCGGCTTGGCCACCAGTATTGGCTTGACTTCATCTCCTGTTGCGGACTTAAGCGCAGCTCTTGGAAATGATGTGGTGGCTGTAGGTGGTGAGCTCTCGTTCGACACGGCCAGCGGGAAGCTCTCGAGATACAGCGGTGGGATTGGACTGACAAAGCCGGACTACAGTGCTGCCTTGATCACGTAAGCTTCCTTCTCTTTTCGAGCGTTTTGTTTTGTGGGAACTTAACAGGCGATACTCTTTTGTCTCCAGCGCCGACAAGGGTGACACGCTCAAAGCCTCTTACTGTCACACGGTGAACGCCAACACCAAGACGACCGTCGGTGCGGAGGTCTCGCACAGCATTTCGAAGAAGCAAAACACCTTCACCATCGGTGCGTTGTACGTGTTGGATCCTCTCACGGCCGTAAAGGCCAGGCTCAACAACCATGGCCAAGTTGGGGCTCTCCTGCAACACGAGTGGCGGCCAAAGTCGACGGTCACGCTGTGTGGAGAGGTCGACACAAAAGCGCTAAACAGCAGTCCCAAAATCGGGTTGGCCGTGGCTCTCAAGCCGTGAGGAGGATCAAACTCAAGAGAGAGCTCGCGACGAATCGATCGAGCGGGTTAGCGACTATGGCGATGGTCTCTTGGTTTGGAAGGAAGTTTGCGGAAGAAAGGATTTGGAGGATGGGGGAGTTTTGATAAGATTGTTGCTGCAACAACATTGTCGTATACCGTGTTTTTCATGTGTAGTATAGAAACATTCTTTTCTATATGATCTTTACGAAGGAGACTTGACAGAATATGCTCTTAACGAGAAAGAATATCTCCTAGCTGAATATTCTCGTAAGAACCCTAAAAAGTTTTTGGAGTTTAGGGTTCTTGCTTCTTGCAGCTATGGCGCTGATGCAGCCGTCGTATGGGATCCAGTCCATGCTCAAGGATGGCCACCGCATCTTCTCCGGCCTCGAGGAAGCGGTGCTCAAGAATGTGGATGCCTGCAAGCAGCTGTCGCAGATCACTCGGACGTCCCTCGGCCCCAACGGTGAGTGAATCGAGCTCTTTGTTTGCGCTTGAGTGTGAGATTCCTGGCTCAGGCATGAACAAGATGGTGATCAATCACCTGGACAAGCTGTTTGTGACGAATGACGCCGGGACCATCATCGGTGAGCTAGAAGTCCAGCATCCCGCGGCGAGGCTGCTGGTCCTCGCGAGCAAAGCGCAGCAGGAGGAGATCGGAGACGGCGCTAATCTGGTGGTGACATTTGCGGGAGAGATCTTGCAAGGCGCCGAGGAGCTCATTCGCATTGGCTTGCATCCCAGTGAGATCGTTGGAGGCTACACGAAAGCCAGCCAGAAGGTAAGTTCTCACTTCTTATTTAGTCCTTAGAGATTGAGATGAAGCTCTTCCTTGTTTCTGTCATCTAGGCACTGGAGATCATCGAACAGCTTGCCGATCCTGGGTCGGAGACTATGGACTGTCGCAACAAAGAGCAAGTTGTTTTGAGGATGAAAGCCGCTGTTGCCAGTAAACAGTATGGCCAGGAGGATTTTCTGTGTCCTCTTATTGCTGAGGTTAGTCTCGGGTTGAAAGAGTTCTTTTATGAACTGATGGAAAAAAAAAATTTTTTTTTTTCAGGCTTGCATTCAGGTTTGCCCCAGGAATCCAGAAAATTTCAATGTCGATAATGTTCGAGTTGCGAAGCTGCTTGGCGGTGGTCTTCGGGATTCTTGTGTCGTAAGGGGCATGGTGTTGAAGGTCGAGCCTCTTGGGACTGTGAAAAGTGCGACCAAAGCGAAGGTCTGGACGCTTTTTTTATTTATCCGCCCTCAGTTTCCTTTATGTTCTAGATTGCTGTTTTTGGAGGGGGTGTCGACACTTCAGCTACGGAAACCAAAGGAACAGTTCTCATTCATTCCGCTGAGCAGCTTGAGAACTACGCCAAGGGCGAAGAAGCCAAGATCGAAGAGCTCATTAAAAGTGTAGCAGAGTCTGGTGCTAAAGTTATTGTTAGCGGTGGTGCTGTCGGTGAAATGGCGCAGCACTTTTGTGATCGATACGGGTAAGCACGATCTGTGATGATATTATATGTCTCACTTTTATTTTCTGGCAGCCTTATGGTTATAAAAATCAGCTCCAAGTTTGAGTTGCGACGGTTCTGTAGGACTACTGGTTCCGTGTCGCTGGTACGAGTTTGCAGGTATTTCTTTGACGCACTGAATTTCCCTTTATGCAGGTGAAGCTGTCGAGGCCAAGATTTGACGAACTGGGTTACGTCGATAATATAACATCTGAAGAAATTGGTGGCGCGAGAGTAAGATTTGATCTTTGTATTATTTTCCGGTTTCAAATTTATCTCCGTTCGTCCAGGTGGTCGTTGTGAGGAGTGAATCGGGCGGAAATTCGATTTCAACTCTCGTAATTCGAGGAAGCACCGACAGTGTTTTGGACGACGTAGAGCGTGCAGTTGACGATGGCGTGAATTGCTACAAGGTTTAAAGCTTTGCTTTTCCTTTTCCTATGAAACTGTTTTTCTTTTTGTTGTGTAGGCTATGTGCAAGGATAGCCGTACAGTTCCTGGTGCGGGTGCAACGGAGATTGAGTTAGCCAAACAGTTAAACGACATTGCTTCCAAGGAGACAGGGTACTGTGTAGCGTTGTGCTGACATTTCCTATCTAACTTTCTTCTTTGCAGCTTGGACCAGTACGCGATAAGAAAGTTTGCTCAGAGCTTCGAAGTTGTGCCTCGAACTCTGGCTGAAAATGCGGGTCTAAACTCTACTGATGTGATCTCGGCTCTCTACGCTGCGCATGCGGGTGGAAATCCCAAGATAGGCGTCGATATTGAGCAGGGATTGTCTGCGCCAGTGGAGACGAGGGATCTGCTTGTAACAAAGTAAGTTCGTTCGAGGCTTAGTAGGACCTTGCTGACATTTGAAACTTGTGTCAAGGTACTGGGCGATTAAGTTGGCGTCGAGAGCCGCCACTACCGTGCTCAAGATAGATCAGGTAAACATTTCCTCTTTCTTTTTAGTACGCTTTGTTGTTGACGCTATGTCTTTTGGTAGATTATCATGGCCAAACCGGCGGGAGGCCCGAAAAAGAATCCCGGAGCAGATGGTGGTGACGAAGACTAGGTAGATTTGCTAACAGTAAGCTGTATCTTTGTAGCGTGTGCTGCATTTTGGGCAGGATTTTTAGTAGAGAGGCTCGCGAAGAGCAGCTGACGAGAAAAGTGCACAGTTTTGGATAGTAAGCTTTCTTTGAATAGACAAAAAGGGATGTCTGCGTAGGATTGCGGCATAAAGTATTTAACCAGCTTGCGATCCAATACAGCATAACCACAATCCATTATTTCATCATTTCCTATGATTGATCGCTTTTGATTCAAACTCAAAGTTCTCGCATTAAAATCTTAGCGTTTTAACGAAAAGTGGTTTTGTACATGGACAGCAAACCAGGGCTCTTGGTTTGCTCCTTCTAGATGATTGAAACAAAAGACTTTTATCTTTTCCATCTTTTATTTTAGGGGAAACACATGCTTCTAGATTGGCGAGCCTGATGCGCTTCTGCGTCATTTAAGCTGCTGTGCCAAAACACGCCTAACTTGCTCGTGTTCTTGGGGTCAAAGTTGCTGGCGTTAATGTCCAGATAGTTCTTATTGAAAGTTTGGATGGACTTGAAATATGCTTGGATTCTAGCATCTGGCTTTTAATTTCTTTTTTATCTCTAATTTTTTTCATTATTTTTATATGCTGGAATATTTGGCGGTGATGGTTATTGAATATTACTGTTGCATCATATAGTATTAACGTAATTATTTTGAATAAAAATAAAAAAGACAGATAAATAAAAAACTATGAACAAAAATTTGCTCATATCAAAACCCATGATCATAGTCATTAGACTTTTCGTTCGCAAAACCGTGACAGCCAAAGAGGAAAAAACAGTTAAAGTCTCTCTTGGCTCAAGATCAAAACCGGAGTGCACGAAAGCAAATCTCAAAACATTCTACGTAGCGGATCTTCATAAATCTTTAGGAAAGGAATCTTGCAACCCAAATGCAAAGTCTCTGATCAAAATGACATGAGAATGTCGACAAACTCAAACGAATTGGATGGATGCTTACAACGAGAGAGTTTTCTTGTACCTTGCAGAAGTGATAACTTCGTTTTGGAGAGAACAGGAGATTCTTGTCATTTGTGTCAAGACCTCACACCAAACTTAGTAATGAGTGCTCAAGTACACAAAGAAGAAGAGAGGAAAGGAGATTCTCTTCATTTGCATCAAGAGCTATGGCCGCACCGCAAGGTAATGCAGCACGTCGGTATTGGCTGATATCACAGCGATGTCAAAACCGCCATAAGGACAAAGCAGGCTCAAGAAATAGATCCCCACCTGCACAAACGAGTACATGCGGCTTGTACTCTGCGATCGCTGCGTCCACAGCTATCAGATGCAATGCTTTTCTTAGGGAAAGGAAAAAAACAAGGTTGGGAAACGCAGTGTCCGAGAGGAGTTTTTATGCCTCTTCGGAGACACCAGATAAGATTGGCACGATACAGAGAAGATTAGCATGGCCCTGCGCAAGGATGACACGCACAAATCGAGAAATGGTCCACTATATAATCCTTTTGTGTACCTAGCTGCTCAAACGCGCCCCGGAGCTCGCCCGGGATTTCACTGCCTGGATTGTGCACTTCTCCTCCACCTTGTGCTGCTTCTTGTGCTGGTTGCTCCAACTCCAGCACTGCAGTTTGGATTCTACCACCCCCACCATTAATCACACCTCGGGTTTGGAGCTACCACTGCTTGTGCCATGGGCTCAGGTGCTGGAGGATTTGCCACAGCCGGTCATGCACCATCTCTAGCACCACCAGCATTTGGTGCATCCAAACCACCTCTAACACCACCAGGCTGAGGTCTTACACCATTGCATCTCCAATACCACCAGTATTTGGTGCATCCAAACCATCTCTAACACCACCAAGCTGAGGTCTGACACCATTGGCCACAAGAACATCTCCAATACCACCAGCATTTGGCGCATCCACAGGCCCATCCATGAGCTCAAGTTTGGGACTCAAGTTTTACACCATTCTAGAGTTGCCTTGTTTTCTCCCAAAAGCTGGGCCGCTGCAATCATGATGATGATCCCTACCTACCGGTGCAGGTGCAGGTGCAGGTGCCGGAGTTCCTTGTGCTTCTGCTGCTGCTTCGGTTCCGATCTCAGATTCAGTAGGCGGCTCGTGGAAGCGTTTGTTGCATCCGCACGCCAGTCGCCGTCCAAGTACCTCATGCATCCGTCCTTCAAGGGCTGCGCCAGGACGAAATCGTCCGTCCCCACGGCATCGAACAGCCCTGTGTTCTGTTGCATGCGCCCCACACCTTCGTTACAAGTTTCACTTGATTAATCAACATTGTTCTACGTTAAATACTAATAAAGGTTGGTCTTACTCAACTATAAAATAATCCCATGTAAAAATCACTCTACGTGACGTGGTAAAGTGTTAAGACATTCTTGTCTCTAACTTTTCGATCTAGAACAACGCGGATTCAAGTTTGAATGGAAGTGTGCTATAAATTTTTTGGAACCGTTGTTTTTCCGAGATTGACGGCTTTGTCCGCCACGTTTGCTTTCAAAGTCACGCCAGGAAAATATGACTCACTCGCAAATAAATACTTTACCAGTTTGTTTAGAGGTTTGCTGAGAGAACGACGCTCCTTCCATCGCTCTTTCCAGTCTTCTCCCCCAATTCCCCGATCTGTTCTCGAGGATCTCTCCTCTTCGCTAGAACGCCTCGATCTTCTTCGCTGCAACGCTTCCTCCGTCTTCTCAGGATGAAGACGATCATCGCCATGGCGCTGCTGGGTCTGTTCTTGAGCTTGGCAGCAGCACAAGCGCCGCAGGACTGCACCGCTCTTGCTACTCGTCTCGCAAGCTGCCTCTCCTTCCTCCAGGGCCAGGCCCCCGCCCCGGATGCCCTTTGCTGCTCCAACTTGGTAGCCATCAACAACATCAACGCTTCGTGCCTGTGCAGCTTCGCCTCCATGACCGGCTCGGCTTCCGGCCTCAACATCAACACCACCCGAGCGCTCGAGCTTCCGTCTCGCTGTAACATCCCAAACGTCACCTGCGAAGGCACTACGAGTAAGTCTGGCTGACCCCGATGCTTGCCTCTGTGTCCCTGTCTAATGTTTCTTGCTTTCCTGTTCCATCCAGTTCCAGCTCCAGGTCCTACTGGTGAGAATGCCCCTGCCCCGGAATCCGGTGCCAATCCACCACCCGGTAGCTCCGCAGCAAAATCTCTATCGTCGTCGTCTTGGCTCGTGCTTGGAGCTGCCATCGTCGGGTACCTCTCTCTAGCCTCGCTTCAGTGAGTGAGAAGTTTTGCGGTTTCTCCTCGGTAGCTTATCGTGTGACCCATTTGTTGTGAAATAAAATCTTTCTGCATTTTTTTTTTCCCTTGTGTGAACTCCGACTACCTGTGTAAGTCGCAATATCAAGAGGAGAAAAGGCGGAGGAAAAGGACTTGTCACTTACTTACAAGCGAGTGCAAGTAAGATCGAAGTCATCCGGCGCGACTTGGAGTATCCAGGAGCTCAACTTGCGCTTGGATTCGTTGCTGTTGATGGCGGCGAGCTCGTACATGCTACACAGGTTGAGCACCAGCGTCTCGTTGAGCGCCGCCTCGGTGTGCTTCTGGAGCACGTCTTCCAGCACCTGCGTCGCCCGGATCAAGTCCCTCGAGTACATGAGGCACAGCGCCTTGTTGTTGGCAGCCAAAGCATCCCCGGGAGAGATCTCGAGCACCTCGTTGTAAGCTTTCACCGCTGCCGCGTACTGCTTCTCCACAAAAGCCACCAGTCCCTTGTTCCTTCCCACAAGGCACAGAAGCGAGCTATCGACCTCGCCACCCTTTGCACGCTCGTCCACCAGAGCTTCCACCTTTGCGAAAGTGAGCTTGGCACCATCCACGTCCCCGAGCTGGAGCTGGACGTGCGCAAACTTGGACCAGAGCTCGACGTTCTCTGGATCTCGGGCCAGTGTCTCGTTCACAAAACGTAGAGCAACGATGTAATCCTTCTGCCCGAGATGGAGATTGATGATCGCAAAGTTGACGATCTCTTTGCGTCGCTTCCACCTCCTGGCCAGAGCGTTGCTTCGCTGCTCCTCGTCTAGAACACCACCGTCTAGCCGGAACGACGAGAAGATCTCATCGATCTCCTCGCTTTTTCCATCCGCGGCCAAGGCTTTCTCCTCCTTCTGTGAGCAGTAGTCGAGCAAGCTATACATGCGTTCCATGCTCGTCGAGGCCTGTCCAATCCGGTATGGAATCGCTGCGTGGAGCCACCGGAGGCTAAACGGGACCATCGAGCCGGAGATCCCTGGATAGACGTTTGGATGATCTTCGTAGAAGAAGCTCGCGTTCTGCAAATCCCCGAGAGCCGCCAGCTCCTCGGCCGCGCCAGTGTAGTTCCCGAGCTTGGCCAGAGCCAAAATATGATACGTCGTGTGGATCATCCTCTCCTCGGGGCTAAACACCGCCGCGATCTTGCGGGCTTCCTTGACATTCTCCAGCAGCAAGCGCCACGATCCCTTCCTGGCCTGCTCCTGCATGTTCCTGGTGTCGAATCTGGGAGCATTCTTCTTCTTAACCGAGGCGGTGCGATTCAGATCCACGGCGGCATTGCTCCTGTCGCCGACGCTATCATCTATCCCCATCGATCGATCCTGGATCTATAGCATACCTCGACGCGCGCTCGCTCGCTCGCTCGCCATAAACCCTAAATTTCGAGCAATCACAAGGGCGGCATCCAACGGCCCAGATCTCCTTGGTCATGGCGCCACGTGTCTCTATTTCCGTTGCGGCCTTCTATCTTTAGACCGTCGGATTGGCGTCGCCTTGTGGAAAGTGTGCGTGCTGGTCTTGTGGGACGGAGAAACGTGTTGTGTGATCGCGTGGAGGATTTTAGGGCATTATAGGGCGAAGAGATCGCGCGCGTGTCTAGCAGCTAGGCAGGGGATTTCGGGCGAGCGAGCGATCGATCGAAGCTGCGATCATGGCGCTGGATTTCAAGGCTCTGACGGAGGCGACGTCGGGAGCTGTGGGCGGGCTTCTCAGCACAACGATCTTGTATCCACTCGACACTTGTAAGACGAAGTATCAAGCCGAGGTCCGGGAGGGAGATTCTCGCAAATACGGGTGAGTTCCTCGCTTTTTCCTGTCTAGGATCACGATCGCATTGCTATGATCGTTTGCATTGCATCATTCCTAGGATGATTCTTGTCGTTTTTGTTTGGAGCAATTTTTTTTGCACGTTATTCCATCCCATTGGTACTGATATCTTTTTCTTTGCGAAATTCCCAGGTCTTTACTCGATGTTATGCGCGAGGCTATTGCATCGAATCGGATACTGTCTCTGTATCAGGGCCTGGGTACAAAGAATCTCCAGTCAGTGATTTCGCAATTCATTTATTTTTATGCCTACAGCTACTTCAAGCAGCTCTACTTGAGACGTAGCAAGGCAAAGTATCTCGGCACTACGGCCAATCTTCTGGTCGCAGCAGCTGCTGGCACCTGTACTGCGATCGCCATACAGGTGTGAGTTTGCTCTCTTCTTTTTGAAAGTTTTGATGATCGTGCTTGCTGAGCTGATAAGTCTCTTTCACTAGCCACTAGACTCGGCGTCAGCCAAAATGCAAACCAGCACTTTCGGCAAGTCGAAGAGTTTGTGGAAGACTTTGACTGGTGGCAATTGGAAGGATGCCTTCGATGGATTAAGTGCTTCGCTCGTACTTGTCTCAAATCCTGCCATACAGGTTTGCAAGGTTTTACACAGTCGCGTTGTCGCCAACAGTTCTGTTGCGTGCAGTATACGGTGTTTGAGCAGCTGAAAGGACTACTGGTGAAGCGGCACAGAAAGTCCCGAGCAGAGAATTCGGATTCGTCTCCGCTTGTTATCTCGGCTTTCTCTGCGTTCCTACTCGGTGCGTTGTCAAAAACAGCGGCAACGATTATCACGTATCCTGCGATAAGGTTTGATTAGCTTTTGCTTTGAAGCTTGACAGTTAAAACTTAACACTTGTATCTACAGGTGTAAGATCATGGTTCAGGCAGCTGAAAACGACACGGACGCAGTCAAAGCTCTTTTAAACGGTGGTGAGGCTCCAGAAAAGCCTCCCCGTGGAATGGCACAGGCGTGCCGTCTCATCTGGAAACGCGAAGGAGCTTTGGGCTTCTACAAAGGATTGCATGCGCAGATAATGAAGACCGTTCTCGCGGCAGCACTGATGCTGATGATCAAGGAGAAGGTTTCGTATGGAACTTGGGCGGCGATGATGCTGCTTCAAAACAGATGGGCTGTACAGAAGCAAAAGATAAAGACGCTTGCTACAACGTCCTAGTGGCTCGAATAACGGGGAGGCGGCTGCAACAGTCGAGGTATATCTCTCGTACCATTTTCTTTCTCGCAATTCAAGAAGGCTGCCAAAGCCATTTAATGCAATTCAATGCGTTTGTTTCGAGGCCTACAGACAGCACAGCACAGGGAAAAATGGAAAGCGAACTTGAATCGTTTTGTATTCATAAGGAAAGCGAGGTCCCTCTCAGGATCATCTACCAATGAAGCAAAGAAAAGAGCCATGCCGAGCAGATGGAAGAAACGGGATCTCGATCAATTGGAGCCTCTTGGTGGTGGTGGTGGTGGTGGTGGTGGGCTTCTCCTCGCTCTCCTCGTCGGCCTCGCTGCTAGAGTACTGATCTGAACAACACCATTTAGAAGCTGGAAACATCAGTGTCGAGGCAAGTTCTTTAAAACCTTTGAGAACTTACTCTTGCTTGATCAGAAGAAGGCAGAGTCTCCGGCGCGCCTTGATCCACAGGGACAAGCTCCTGATTTTCTGAAACGCCTTCCACGACCGAAACCACGACGCTGTCGTCGGATTTATCCACTGGTAGCTCGGAGGTGGAAGCAGCGCATTTCCTGTGATCCGACTCACTCATCTTATCGTCGTATCGCTCGACCGCGTTCACTAGCATACACGCCGGCGGATTCTTTAGCTTGGACGAGCTCCTGGCGACGAGACCTCTGTTGAGGCGAGCTCCCCACGATTCCAGAAACCAGGCCGAGGAGATCCTGATAAACTTTCGGAGCTCACACATATTGAAGATACAAAGGAGTGGACTTTCTCGAACGCGGAGGTGAGAGCTCGTGACAATGGACTCGCCAAGTCGCGAAATTTTGCGAGAGACTCGGTCGAAGATAGCGGGAAGTTTATGGTTGAAATTAAAAGGCTGTGCCCGTCTGGGTCTCTGATGATGTGAGAGTCCACTCGCAGAGAGTCTACCTACAAGTATCTTTTTTTACGTAGGTGTCACTAAGCAAGGTCTTTGATCCAAGTCAAGACTGTTTAGAAGAGGATCATTGTGGAAATTGCTTTCTTTCTGTCTCCGGACCCAAGACAAACTTCTAGTCCATTGAGGTGTGCATAGCAATCAAATAGAATTAACATTGATTAAAGGTTTTAGTGGCTTTCAAGCGTTAATCCTTTGTTAAACATCCAGATGAATATTTCTAGCTATTGAGGTTGATGAGTTGTGAGGCTCCAAGCTCGCAGATTTACTGTAGACATCCTAGAAGTAACAACAACACTGTAAAGAAATATGTAAATAGGTATAATCTAATCTATAACCTATGTCGTGTTTTGCATGTTTCCATGGACTAGAGGTTGGAGACCTGTCTTACTTATCCATTTGATTGGCTTTAAGAATGTTTTTTGTTTATTATTATTATGATGGTAGTGAATATACTTAGAATATTCTTGGATATTTTACCATCTAATAGTTGTTATTCATTTAGATTAATCTTGTACTTATAATTTATAAACATGTTTATCATTTATAAACTTTCTTAAATTAAAGTTTATTTAATTAATTAGATTAATAAATAATAATGAAACTACTATTAAGCAAACCAAGCATTGTTACATGCAAATGTAGCAGCACATAGCAATTTATTAAGATTAGGAATTATTTTCCTAACTACATACACAACCATTGGTTTAGAATATTCCACTATTAAACACCATTAATATTTTTATACTTATAGTTTATAAATGTTCTTATTGATTAAATGAGGACACTCTTTGGAGTTCTCATTCAATTTGAGGGTATTCGTGTCTTTTGGTTTTAGTCAATGACACTTAACAGCAAGGAAACTCTCATTGCAATCTCCTGATGGTCATGGTTGTGCTGATTGTAGGGGATAGAAGCATATGTGGGCCGGCCATTGGCAAAAGACTGCTTTTATCGAGGAACCAAGCTACAGATAGTAGACCACGGTTATGTCATGCACTCCACCAACCCTTGGCAATCCGGGGTCATGGATCGCATCATAGCAGTAAAACGGACATACCATGCATTGCAATCGGACTGCCATAATACCCACATGACTGGAGCGC